ACCTTTTATTTTTTATGGTAATTATACACTACAGTATATACTCTCTACACTGCCACAATATGTACTTCCAAAAATTCAATGTCTGAAATACACTGCCACAATATATACACTGCCAAAAATTCAATGTCTGAAATACACTGGCACAATATATACACTGTCACAATATATTTACACTGCCACAAAACACAATAATTAAAACTAAAAATACAGCGAAATCCAAATAAAAGGATGCAAGACAAAATTTTGACATTTAATCTTCACACTGCCCACACCATAACACACAATCTTCACACTGCCAAAATTACAATGCCTTTCAAAAGACCTAATTTTTCAAAAGGGACAAATACTTGGTATTTCAAAATTGATTTCACAACATGCACCTAATCTTCAATTTGAAGAAAACACAATAATTAATACTAAAAATACAGGGAAATCCGAATGAAAGGATGAAGGGATGAAAATTAAAAATTGAAGAAGAAGAGAAAATGATTAGCGACATCAAAGATTGCCGCTGCTGATGATTGCCGCCGCTAATCGACCAATGAATCATGGGCGAAGGACTAAGGACGCATCATCGTCGGCGAACGGAAGGAGAGACCGTGGAGTTCAATAGCGTGCGGGAGAACGGAAGGAGAGATTGGAGTTGAATGCCGTAATTTTTAATGAAAAAAACAGAAAAAGGGGTAAAGGGTATGATAGGAAAGGATTGACACCATAAATTGCTATGTTTGTTAAAAACAATGAGTAGTGCTAAATGCGTAATTTAGGGTGAGTTAGAGTGCTATGTAGGGTGATTTCTTATATAATTATTCACTGATTGGAGCACAATATAGATCATTTTTTGGGAAACATTACTGGAAAAAATTAAATATTTAATTCAGAATAATAAAAATACCATTTCTCACATCATAGAGTATATTCTTTCTTGAACGTGTTCGATGGTGCGAAGCTATAGCCAATGATGATCACTCTCCTTCTGTATCTTTATTAACCATCATAAAATAAATATTGTAAATATTTTTATCTAAAATTTTAAACAAAAAAATTCTATTAACCATTAATATTTGTTACATTGATGTCAATGGTCGGATGAATAGATAAGCAAGAATATTACTTATTTATATTAATTTGACATATATATCAAAATAAGCATGTATAGTGATTACACTTATAATAATTAATATTATATCATAAATATTTCGATTAGGAACATCAATTAGTTATTAATTTCTTAGACATTAATAACCATGTACCAAGTCTGCATCAATTTACAAAGTTAGTAATGGAAAATAGTAATTTTTTAGCACGAATCTATAAATTTTTACAAGAGTAATGCTAGAGTCACAAATAATTTCAACACAAACTACACAAATTTATCATTTATACACTTTTCTAGGTGAATAAAATCATCTAAGTAATTAAAAAATAAAAATTTAAATATATAAATTGTAAGTTTGTGTCCAATTAAGGTGTTTGTGACTCCAGCATTACTCTTTTTACAAAGTTAGTAATGAAAAATAATAATTTAAAAATGGAAAATACTAATTTTAAAATGGAACATACTTTTTATTTGACTTAGAATTATTTTAATATATAAGAATAAAGTTAATGATCTATTAAATAAACATGCCCATAAAAATTTATTTCCTTTTATATATTTATTTCTCTTTATCAAAATTGGAAAATCTCTCCAACTAGTATTAATTTCAAGTAAAAATAAATATTCACATCTAATTTTATTTAGCTACCAATGTATTTGTTCTTAGAATAAATTTATTTTTGTTATTGTTTTTTTAAACATGAGTTCTTTCTTTTAATTTCAAAATCTATTATTTAATTTAAATATTTTCCCAAAATGAATTAAGATATAGAATTTTTTTAACGTGATCTTGCTAAGGAATTTGTGTCCATAGAATAAATTTTTTTTAAACTAATTCTTTAAATATTACTTGATGACATGACGTAGCGACATGTCAATAAAATTGCCAAATAAGCACGTCACATGCCACAGTTTTAAAAGCCCAACTCTAAAATTATATATAAAGATATTATATATCTCTTGATTTCAAATTTGAATTCCCTTTGTAGCTCGCCAAGTATTTTTAAAGAAAATGCATATCTTCGATATGAAGTCCATGTCTTGATTGCTCACCAAAGCCCTAAGGTCTTATCTGATTCAGTCTAATCTAATTTTATTTTAGTTGAAAATAAAATTATTTCTGATTTGATTGGATATCTAATTTCAATGAGAATAAAAAAGGTCATGTACCAATTTTCAATCTACACGCAATATTCATAGTCACATTGGTGTTGTTGTCAACTTATTTTCATTACTTACTTTTATTAGAATCAGATTAGACCAGCTCAAATCTGTCCAGTTCAGAAACAAGTTTAAATACTTTCTTTGTCTCGAAAAAAGTTTCACCTTTGACTCACATGGAGACAAAGAAAGGTAAAATTGGATGGTTGAATGTGATACAAAAAAGAGAAAAATTATAAGGACCACAATTTTTTCCTAAAAGTGGAAATTTTTCGTGAGACAAATAAAAAAAGAAATACAAAATCTTTTTATGAGACAGAGGGAATAACTTGAATCAGATCAAACTTTAATAAAATCAGAGATCCAACTGGATTAGGTGACTAAGAGTTCGTTCTATTCAACTAATTTTTTACCGTATTACTTATTTTCATTAAAATCAAATAGAATTGAATCAAGTGACATATTTAATTACAATTATTATTATGGAGCATGCTACATGTATTCCAAAATTTGTACCTCATTTCTACACCAAAGGTATGCACCAACATTTTCATGGTTCACACTGACACAAAGTTTTGGTATATTAATAAAAATTTCCACTAACACAAAGTGTTGGTGCGTTAACAAAAATTAGCATTACACTAACACAAAATATTGGTAAATCCCATGGTGTACAAAATGGGGTATAGATTTTTAGGGTACATATAGCTTAACCCTATTGTTGTATGAGACCATACGAACTAAACACAAGGAGTATTAGACCTCGTTCTGTTCAACTTATTTTTTCTACTTTCTTTCTTATTCTTATTAAAATCAGATCTCAGACCGAATAAGATCAGATCAGATCCAATCAGATTAGACCAGATCAGATCAGATTCAATCAAGAATTATTATTATTATTATTATTATTATTATTATTATTATTCTTCTTCTTCTTAAAAATGAAAAAGAATAAACTTTTGAAACACTTCAAAAAAAAAACTTTAGAAACAAGTTAAATAGAAAACTGAGAAAATAATCCTTCATTATTAGACGTCAGAAAAATTATTTTTAAAATACATTAACAATATCAATCTAATTCTACTTTTAAAATACATTTTTATTGCTATATGTAATTTGAGTTTCTAAAGTTTTGATCTTTTATTACATCGAGTTGATCAACTTTGATCATGATTTAAATAAAATTAACATTTGATATTCATATACGGAGTATACTTTAGTGTAACTGAAATAACTATTATATCTATGGTGTTATACTAATCATAAAAAGTTTTCATAGTGCAAAGCACACGTTGATATTTTATAAGGATGAGATATTTTAATAAAAACACCATCTCATCTCTATATTGATGATCTAAATTTAATTACTTTTTAATTTATATATGAATTAAATATTTATTCTAATGTATATATGAACTAATTATTAAAACATTAAATCAATATTCTTATTTCATAAGAAAATAATCATAAAATAAAAATTATTATTACATTATAATATGAATGATTATTCTAATATATGAATTAACTAATTTTATTTCATCAAAAAATAATCATAAAATAAAAAATATTATTTATATTATAATATGAATTATCATTACAATTTTCAAACATTATTATAAAGTCAAATCAAATTATTGATTTGAATTTTAAATCAAATCATAATTAATTAGATAAGATCGGACCAGATCAGATCCAACCAGATTAGATCAGATCAAATCCAATCGGATTAGATCAGATCAAAACTACAAAAAATTAGATCAAAGAAAAAATAGGTTGAACTGAAAGGAGCTTTAGGGGGGTGTATTCAAATCGGATTTTAATAGATTTTAATAGATTGTTTAAAATCGGTGGATTTGAAATATTCCATGGATTATTTTAATTCTACAAAGAGTTTGATAGATTTTAACGTATTTTATCAATAAGATTTTAAAAGATTTTGTAGGATTATAAACATACAATCAATATTGATTTTGTGGGATTATAGATAGGCAATCCCAAAAACCACCAGATAGAAGATGTACGCGTGTTTCCCTATGAATTTTCAGATTTCTTTGACTCGGCAACCGTAAAGAAGAAAACCACCAGAAGATGTACACGTCTTTCCGGCTTTGCTTTCTCTGGCTTGATTTTTGACTCGGCATCCATGGATTTTCAGATCTGGATGCTATCGCGTCCTCTTCCATGTAAAGCTCCGGTCGGTCATCGTTGGAAAAAAAAGCAACTTTCGTCTTCTCTGGCTTCGCTTTTGTCTTCTCCGGCTTCGCGTCCACTTCCATGTAAAGCTTCGTCTTCTCCGGCTTTCCTCTCTTTTTACTGCTGCCATGAATTTCATCGGATCAAAGCTCCACAGGAATTTCACCGGACCAAAGCTCCAAAGCCGAATTTCACCATGCTCCCCCAAGTCCGTTGAAATCTTTGGGAATAGCCACAGATTTGTCACTGAATTTTTCTTTAGAAAAATGACTCCAAAATCCATCAAAATCTATTCATAATACAAATCTTTTTAAATCAATGGATTGTTAAATACTTTTAGATTTTGGTGGACTTTAAAAAATCTTGATTGAATACTCTTAAATTTTAAATGATTTTATAAACTCCCAATTGAATACCCATTGACTTTTAAAATCCAAAAAAATTCTAGAGAATCTGGATTGAATACACCCCTTAGTTTGGATCCCAAAATACTCTCTTCCTTTATCTATAAATACAACAACCTCACGGGGTAGTCGCTCACCACAGTATCCCAACATCCCTCGCACTTAGGGTTCCGAACACTCTAAGCCGACCGCCGATCTTACCCAGTTTTCAATATCCTTTAAATCTTTTCAACTCTCCAATGGATTTCGGAGGTGCTCGGAAGAGGGGAAGATCCGATGCCGTATTCAACGGCAATGGCTACAAGAAATCCAAGCAAGGTCTGCTTTACCTCTCTCTCACATCTTGCACAACTATTTAGCTTCTCGTGGTGTAGTTTCTCATAGTGTTCACAGATCTGGAGATTGACTAGTCTTTTCTGATGTTGGAAAATTGGAATCTACTATTCTTTTAAATGTTTTGAATTGTTAGCTTTGTCTTTCTTTTACTTGCGTGATCTGGCTTCTGACTGTTAAGTGTGACTTTCCTTGCTGTTCAATTTGGCTAGTCTGGGATGTATATACATATTTTCTCTACCTTCTTTGTGTACTACTCAGTTGCGATGCGCATTGTTTGTACTTCCAAAAAATGCAACTATAAATTCTTGGCTGATTCTACACGCAGAAAGTTTCCTCTTATCAGAATTCTGACTATAACTTGACTAATAAATAGTATGAATTCTATTATTTTTCACAATTCAAACAGTAAGCCTTCCCTAAAAGATTCACTAAAAATGGTTAATGTTCTGCGACAGAATCCGAGTCCTTTACAAGTGGTGTAGGGAGCAAATCAAAGCCATGCACAAAGTTTTTCAGGTTCTAATCTCAACCTATCTAAAAAGGGAACGTTAAATCCAATTACTATATGTTGCTAATGTTTATGACTTCATGTAATAAATGAAGAATGGTTCATGTACTTTATGCAAGTGAAAACTTTCTTACTAACGATTTGGTCAGAGAAAGTTGTGAAGCAGGCAAATTATCTTATGACTGTTGAAACTTGAAAAATTGGGCTGATGTTGTGATTAATGTTGAACTAAATAATCGATTGGGTATAATTCAAAATCTGTTCGATGGGATTAATGCTCTGGATGCCTTCATTTAAGCCACTATAAATATTAAGCATATCTTGCACAATTTGCAATTCAATGCAGTGCAAGTTTGGCCTTGTAATTGGCAAGTAATAATGGTGAGACTGGTTTGTTATATTAGTACGTGATATATACAAGGCATAGAGATGCAAATCATTGTGTGTTTGGTATTCATGATTTTCTCCCATTCTAAGCTAATGAATTTGATTAACTATCTTCACACTGCCTAAAATTGTGAAACACATCTTAAGAATTGCCTGCATACTTTGTTTTCTATACACATCTAAAGATGTTGCTAACTATAAAGAGTTTAGTATCAAACATTTTTTTGACATTGCAAGGATTTTTTTAGAAACTATTCTCTTGAACACGATTTTCTTTGCGACAATGTGTCATTTAGAGTTAATTTATACACCTACTTGGTTTAATTTGTTCCTAAAAAATGCATCACAGAGATGCTTGCTTGAATCATGGTTGTTAAGTCTACAAGTCGAGTTGAGTCGGTGAAGGGGAGACTAGTGGACTAGTTGGACTACTAATCATAGATTAGTCGACAAATCACAATTAGTATCGAAATTTTTAACTTTATATATATATATATATCTTCATTCACCCAAAATAACTATAGACCAAAACCAAATAATGTTTAAAGGTAGCACATGAAGTTACATAATGAAGGGTACATAAGAATATCCTTCAGTCATTAGATCTGGCTTTTCATTTGGGCTCCTTGGATGGACCGTCATAGTCACAAACATCATTATCTCCCATTTGTTCTGAAATAAATTTAAAATTATTTCATAAGAGATAATAAATATTAAATTAACTTCTTAACTCAAAATACTAAAATAACAAAAAAACAAATGTTAACTGAAATTAGCAAAAAAAGTTAATTGAAATAAGCAAAAAATAAAATTTAAAATAAAAAACTGAAGAAAATTTAAAAATAAAGAACATAATACGTAGTATACTTTTATTACTTTAATAGTTTAATGAACCTATGGAGCCAAAGATTCACTATTTTCTGGTTTTGGGGTATGATGGAACAAAGCAAATTGGCTCTTTAAATTGTCTCCGCGTCTTGCAATTGTGATGAAAAATTGATTGTGGATTGGCTTGACACCTTAAATTGATGCGCCTGGGAAGCTTGAAGTCGGTTAATTGTGATCTACGGTAATAGATCTATCGCGATTGGATTTGGGAATGTCGACAATTGGTCGAGTAGTATTTAATATTTAATGAAATTTGGGTCGGGTTGGGGCAAATTGCTCTTTTTCTCGTACTAGTCGCTGCTGAAACACGACTAGGCGATGCCTTAGTAGCCCGGATCGATTAGGCTACCCTAGTCGCTAGGCACCCAGTTTTTTCCCTTCCCCATAACGCTTGGATAACTAGTCGGTGACTAGTCGTTGCCTAGGCGACGACTTGACAACACTGCCTTGAATCCACAAAGTAAGTATGTGAAGATTTTTGTCACTGAAAGCATGTAAGGCACTGAGAACAGAGGAAACTGCTCGTTGCCTAATAAATTAACTTCTTTAATTTTCTGTTATGAACTGTTGATAATGTAGATATAGTTTTGGCTTATAAATTGTTGGATTTAGAAGCTAAGCCAAATAATTTAAAACTCTTACAGTATCTACATATCCAATCAGTATGATTTTCAAATGATATAATATCTTAATAATTATGTAGCATCACCAGATCATTACTATCAGCTAGTTTTCTGTTTAGATTAAGAACAACCAGTTTTGTACTTGTTGTTTTTGTTGCTGGAGTATTCGTTTTGCATACGAATGTCTATAGTGAACACGGGTTAAGCATATTGGCATAGATACTTTGCTTTAAATTTCTTATCAGTGCACCATATTAAACCAGGGGTCTCGGGGAAACAGCCTCCCTAGTTTTGAGTAGGGGTAAGGTCTGCTCACAATCCCCCCTCAAAAGACCATACTCTTGTGGGTCTCAACTGGGTTGTTGCGCTGTCTTAAATCAATACAATCCCAATGTTATGAGTTTATGGTCAGAGTTGATCGACAGATAAGCATTACTAAGCCAGCTCTATGATTTCTATTGCGAAGACACATGACACAAAATCAATGCATTTTCTGGCAAGTTATGAAAGGCATTGATATGGATGAAGAATCATGTTCTTGGATTTGTTAATGCTTTATCTCAAGCTAGCTTCATTTAAAAGGAGCAGTACTTAAAATGGATGAAATGAACATGTTTTAGAACTCGATGGGTAACACTCAGCCTAAACTATGGTTGTTGAAGAGATTTAATATAGAACAACTATTGATGACCCAAATAATGTTGAAGTATTTGGTGAAGTAAGTCGTTGAACAAATGGAATCCAAATTGAAGTATGAAATTTGACATAAAGCTCGGGATGAAACAGAAGTCAAGTATGTGTAGCTGTTGAAAAGGGAATTTTATTTTGAAACCAATTAAAGGGAGCATAGAACAGAAGGCAACTGGATACTGAAATGAGATTGCGTAATGTTTCTTGGATTTATTTCTTACATTTGGTTGGCATAAGCTGCAGACGTTTCCCCTTATATATCAATGTCTATATATTACTAAGTATATGGCATTGGTATTGAGCTTGGACTTTCCCCCCACATTACAGGATATGAAGTGTAATAGAGGATTTTTTTGGGACTGTTTTGGGCATATTGAAGGGTACATGCCACAGTTTACTGAGAGATTGATTCAGGTACTACCTTTTGGTATTTTTGTTCATGCCCATTTAGGAGAAGTACAAACAGGAAATAATTGGCATTCAAATAATCATGGAGAGTATGTGAATGATCACATCCTTAACTGTAAAGGTTACGTTGGACAGTCTATAGACATGCTTGTCAAGTATATTATACATGCTTTGCTTGTGGACAAGTATTGCTGATTGTTTCCTTCGTTATAAACTCACATTTTTAGCTTTCTTTTAGCTTGTCATTTATAAGCTTCTGACTGAAGTGGTGGAGTGATGATGCATGAAAACTTAACTGTAAAGGGTGTTCTCAAGTTGGACAGTCTATAGGCACGCTAGTCAAGTATATTATATGGGTTTTGCTCGTGGATGACTGTTTCCGGTTGTTTCCTTTGGTATAACCCATCACATTTTATATATTTTTTAACTCTTCAATTTTTTAAGCTTCTGATTGAAGTGCTGTAATGACGATGCAGAAATTTCTAACCAATCTTATGGTCCGTACCCTGTTTCTTTTTACCATAGTGCATTCCGGTTAAAAGCTGTAGAAGATTGTGATTCTCTTCCAAGAATATTGACTCTTCGTGCTGCCATTAAAAAATTCATCTCGAGTTTTTTTGTTTTATCAGTGAGTTGTGTTCCAGTTAAAACTGGATATGCAAGTCACTTTTGGATTATACAACTTGATTTTATAGGTCAAATAAAGAGAGAGAAATAACACATTTTATTTGTTTTTGGTTAATATTGGGTATACCAATTCGCTCATCTGCATTTGACTAGGTAGTGAAATATGATTAGTTACAAGTAAGATTTGGATTTTGGACGGATACAAAGCTACTTGGAATTGATTGATCTTGGTGTTAGATTATTCATATCATACTATGCATATAGTGGGTGAAAAGGAGTGTTATTTCATGCAGAGCAAACATCCCTAGCACAGGTATACTAATGTGTGATTTAAGGTGAAGCCAAATTTGAGAAATATCAAGGTTTTAATAGAACTGTTAGTTTTAATGTTGAATGATGCTATGGTGACCACGGTGCACCGTGTTCTGTGGGGGAAAGTTGTGAGGTGTAGCTGTATATGGATAAGTTTGATTAAGATTCCTGAAAATATGCCTGTGATGTTTAATTGCCCTCAAAATCATGGGAGTTGGTATAACACCAAATATAGGATACACAATCAATTTGGATCTAAAGAAGCAACCGTGATGTGTATGAGTTGGTGAATCGCTGCTGTATCACAATTTACGTAGAACTAACTCTAGCGTGCTATTTCTGTCATCGCATGTTTTAGGCATAATATAAGGTGGGCCATGTTACCCTTTACAAAAACCCTCCTAGAATTGTTGAGATTAGGCCAAATATTTACCAAATCTTCTATCCCTTCACATTGGCAAAGCTACAATATTGCAGTTGGAGAGAGTTTCACCTGCTTGTTGTTACCCGCATGAGAGCTTCATATCCTACACAGTTTCATCCTGTCTCTTTCCTGTAAACTCTTCATTGTACCTCTCTACTTTTACCCATTTTAGATAGAAATTGAAAAAAGAATGGCTCTCACTCTCTCATCCTAGTGAATTTGTGGTAGGATATTTGTTATGATGGCGACCTTGAGGCGTCATGCTTTAAAAATTACTCATAGTGCCATTTGATTTAATTGGTCTATTAAAGTGTGAGACTCAGTTCCATTGGGCAGACCAACATTAATAAATCAATTTAGGGTAACCTACTGTGTTGAGTTCTATACTAGGAAATGAAAATAAAGATTTCTCCTTTTCTCACCGATTAGTTTATTTTCTTCTCTCATTTTCTTAACCTTTCACTTTTCTTTTCTTTTCTTTTCTTTTCTAACCAAACAAGAAAAATAGATTTTCTTTTCCCTTTCCAATTCCTTGAACCAAATGTAGTGTTAACAAAATATCTGTCATTCATTTTATGGTTTTTTTACTTGTGTGAGAATGAGATGGTGAGTTATTTGTGATGTTAGCATGTGTCTTTGCAAGTAATGGCCATGTTTCATAGGTCTTGTGGCATTTTTTTGCACTTCTGAGCAATGCTCAACTGTTCAATCACAATCCAATAATAAAATTGTTTGTCAAAGTTGAGTTTGGTTTTTGCCACTATGATTTGCAGGAAGGCATGAATGTGGCTCAGGTTTTCCCCAATCCTATTTTACAAATCACAAATTGACACAAGTTTTTTTTAATATATGCAGCACAACGGGATGCCAATTTGGAGAGAGTTGCCACTTTCTGCATTATGTACCTGGTGGGCTCAAAGCTGTGACCCAAATGCTTGGCAACAACCCTGCTCTCCCTGTGGCCACTAGAAACCCCATGCCTATGCCCCCACCTTTCCCAGACACAACACAGTCTGCAACAGCGGTCAAGACACGTTTGTGCACCAAATATAACACTGCCGAGGGTTGCAAATTTGGTGACAAATGCCACTTTGCACATGGCGAGTGGGAGCTTGGCAGACCAGCAGCTGTTCATTCTCACCATGAGGACCCTCGTGCTGGGATGGGACACAGAAACAGGTTTGGTAGACCCGAGCCAAGTCAGGCAGGATTCGGAGCAGCTGCCAGCTTCGGATCATCTGCCACAGCCAAAATCAGTATTGATGGGTCACTCTCTGGAGCTATCATTGGGAAGGGCGGGGTTAATTCAAAGCGGATATGCCGTGAAACGGGAGCCAAGCTCTCAATTAAGGAACATGAAGTTGACCCTAATCTCAAGAACATTGAACTTGAGGGTACCATTGACCAGATTCAACTAGCCAGTGAAATGGTTCGTGAGCTCATTGCTTCAGTCACTTCCCACGCTGCAAAATCCATTAAAGGACCACCACGATCTGCCCCCGCAAACAACTTTAAGACAAAACTTTGTGACAACTTCATGAAAGGATCATGCACTTTTGGTGACCGGTGTCACTTCGCACACGGAGCTGAAGAAATGCGCAGCAGCGAAGTGTGAGAGAGGCCTTGAGCTTTCATAATATTTTAATTCGGGATTTTTGTTCGCGTAGAAACTTTTCATAATCATGTGGCTGTAGTTTGCATTTATTTGGTTCTTGTGTGGGAGTCATCTCTCACCGTAGCTGCATTAGATGGTTGAAAATTCATAGCGTGACCCTTTGTCTTGTGTTTTTACCTGCTTTGTTTCAGCTACACCAGTTTCTGTTTGGGTCTGTGTAAAATAGTCAAATTCCGTTGTAATGTTGTTATACCTTTCTTTACCCTCTATTTATCCCTCTCAAGGAGTATTATGTTTGACATACAATTTCACCATTGCCATTTATTCGTACTTACCACTGCAAGGATGCTAGTGATCTTTAGCTCACAATGCTGGTGCCTGGCGGAGTGGCGGAGTTTTAGAACATGTGTACACGTATTCATGACGGAATTTTGATCCTGGTTTCATGTATTGTTTCTTTTAATCAAGGCAACAAAAGAGATTGATCTGACATGACGATGTGTCAATGTGGCATGTTTGCATGCCATCCTGATATTTGGAGACAATTTTTGACGCTTAAACAATTTCTTGATCTCTATAAATATTAACACTATGTTAGGTTTAAGAAATTTGAAAGGGAAAAGAAAAGAAAATGAATGGAAAAGTATTTTTCTTGTTTGGTTAAAGAGGAAAAGTGGACGGAAAAGAAAATGAGAAGGAATAATGTATTAAGTGGAAGAAAAATCAAATTTCTCCCATTTTGGTGAGAAAAATGAGAGAAAATTATTTTTTTATTTTCTTTCCCAATTTCTTGAACCAAACATGGTGTTAAGTTGGAAAAGGGGTTCTATTTTAGATGCGAGAAATTGGAAAAGGGGTTGCTCTCTTGATATTCTTACCTTACCATATTTTTTGGATTTTTTAAAAGGGGCATTGATTTTTCTCTATTAAAAAAAGTGACATGTGGGCTAATAATAATGACTTTTAAATCTATATACGGAGTAATAAGGTTTAATAATACTCTCCATGTTAACAAAATGATCCCTCAAAATACACTTATCATTTTTTTTTGAACGCTATTGACTCTATTACAAGTTAGTATCTGTTCATACTATTCTCAAGCTAATGACGCACAAAGAGCCAATGCTGCTGCCTTCGCTGGGGCTCGAACCTGGGTGAACTTCCCCATGAATCCTGGGGAGTGGGCTTGCTACCACTCAAGCCAGGGGAGAAGTTCATATCATGATGTTACTTCGCCCACCATTCACTTTTTTTAAATTTAAATATAATTTTTATTCTCTCCGTCTCAAGTTAAATTTTCCGTACTCTTTTATGATGTTTGACTTAAATTATTTTTAATTCGTTTATATGAAAGTTGGTGTGGAACTTGATAAGATTATATACATTTAAAAAACTACATCTAAAGTTCTATGAAATAAGAGGTGACATTACTATATTATTTTATAAAATTAATACTAAAAATGAGTAATACAAATCGTTGAAGTTTGATTGTGTGAATAGTGAACATGTAACTTAAATTGGGACGAATAGAGTAATAAGTTATACTCTCTCCGTCCCATAAAATGATTCCACGTTTTCTTTATTGTTTGTCCTAAAAAAAGGTTTAACTTTTTTTTTGAAAGCAAAAAGGTTTAACTTTTCACTTTAATAAAGGAACTTGTGGTCTTAATGATTTCTCTCCTTTGTATCACTTTCAACAATATAATTTTACCTTTTTAAACTCCATACCAAGTTAAAAGTGGAACTTTTTTTTGAGACAGAAGGAATATTATTTTGGTTTATTCTTTTTCCCTTGTTTTCATCAATTATTCAATATTAACATATGTTTACATTGGTGCCCCAACATTGGGAGCATAGATATTAACACATACTCCCTATGTATAATGAAGAGAATGCTACCTTCACTACTTTACTCACAGTCCTATGGCTTTATATAGCCATGAAGATAAACATACACATGAGAGGAAATAGGATCTAGACTAACAACTCTAACTACTAGATAAATACAAACTAATAATACAAACAATCTGTGCATAGGTGCATAGGATAAGTACACGCATAGAGTAATCTCAATAACTACTGGAGCTATGTTTTAGGCTTAATACGCCCCCGCAAGACGGAAGTTCCGTCAGAAACACCTATCTTGGACCGAAATCGAAGGAAGAGCTCCCGGCCCAATGGTTTCGTAAGCATGTCTGCAATTTGATCCTTATTTGAGATGTGATGAACATGAAGCCGATCAACTGCCATGCACCAAGTCTTGCACAAAGTAGTAATCCAAGACCAGATGTTTCATGTGAGAGTGAAACACAGGATTCTTGCAAAAGTATGTAGCACTCAAGTTGTCACAATACACATGTGGAGATGCAATCTCTGGTATCCGAAGTTCACTAAGTAAATTCTGAATCCAAAGTAGTTCCGCGGTGGCATGGGCTAAGGCGCAATACTCGGCTTCGGTAGAGGAGCGGGAAACACATTTCTGACGACATGACTTCCAAGAAAAAACATTGGGCCCAAGATAAAAAACATAGGTCGTCGTAGAACGACGCCCATCATGCACTCCGCCCCAGTCAGAGTCAGTGAAGGCACTGAGGTTAAGAAACACCCCTCTTGAAAGAAACAATCCATGAAATAGCGTACCCTTAACATAGCAAAGCACACGCTTCAGAGCTACCCAATGTGCCAAACTAAGAGAATGCATAGTCTGGGCAAGACGATTTACTGCAAAAGAGATATCCGGACGGGTTATGGGAAGATATTGAAGTTGACCTAAGAGACGTCGATAAGTCGATACATCAACCGAAGAACTAGAAGCTATCGTAGAGGTAAAATCCGTAGCAACCATCGGTGTGGACACATGCCTGGCTTCATCCATATAATGTTGTTGCAAGATGTCGGAAATGTATTGTGCTTGAGAGAGAAAGAGCCCGTTTGGAGTGGTGATGGGTTCAACTCCGAGAAAATGGTGAAGATTACCCAGAGGCCAGATCCTTCAACGAGAATCATTTAGCAAGCAACCGAAGAAACTTATCAAGAAAATATGCCAGAACATCATCCCGAGAATATGCCAGAACATCACCCCAAGAATAAATAAATAGAGAAGCATCAGATTTCGTCTTTAAAAAACCGAATGTAAGAAGAAACGAGGACAACTCGAGATACCAAGCACGAGGGGCCTGTTTGAGCCCATCTATTGCCTTTCGTAACCTACACACATGAGAGGGAAATGTAGGGTTAATATAGCCAGGAGGTTGTTCCATGAACACCTCCTCAGATAACGTGACATGAAGAAAAGCATTGTTCACATCCAATTGGCGTATATGCCAACTCCTACTTAGCGCCACTGTCAACACAACACGAATTGTAACAGGTTTCATGACCGGACTAAATGTCTTAGAGTAGTCATGACCCGGTTGCTGAAGATAGCCTTTGGCGACGAGACGAGCTTTAAACAGGTCCACAGACCCATCCGGTTTACGTTTAACCCAAAAGATCCATTTACACCCAATATGAGTCCGGCCTGACCGAGGAACGAGAGTCCATGTTCCATTTTTCACCAAAGCAGCGTGCTCAGCGTCCATGGCCTGTCTCCAACGAGGATCCTTCAAGGCATGAGTGATGGTACGTGGTTCAAGGGGAAGTGGTAGAGGGAACGCAGAACTGGATGATTGAAAGGAAGGATCAATAGTAACAGTGGAGACCACATATTTAGGCCCAAAAAATCGAGATTAGAACGCTGAATACGAGACAGACGTGATGGTACTGGAATGGGTTGGACCTCAGCAAGGGGGTTTGTGGCAGTGGGAGGAATAGACTGTATGGGCTGTGTGGCTACAGGAGAGGAGGGTACACTGCTGACAGCAGAAGAGGATAATAAACTGGAATCAACGGCGGCCGATGTCATCGTAGGGACTGGTGGAGACGAGAGAGATTTTGGAGGAACCCCTAGGTTTGGTGGGCGAGCCGGAGAGGTTGATATGGGAAAAGTAGGTAGACAAAGCGAGGAATAAAGGTAGATATGCTCAACAAATGTGACGTGACGAGAGAGGTAGACCCGGTTTGTTTTAGGGTCAAGACACCAATACGCGGACTGAGAAGTAGAGTAACCGAGAAGAACACACATAGTACTCTTGTGTTTGAATTTTAGTGGTGTTGTAGGGTCGTAACCATGAATAAGAGAGAAATCCAAACGACTTGAGTTTAGTATAGTTTGGTGACTGACGAAAAAGGACCATGTATGGTGAAGACCCCTTAAGAATGGGAGTGGGGAGTCGGTTAGTGAGATAGACCGCAGTTTGAAATGCCACTGGCCAGAAGAGTGCGAGAAGTCCAGCAGACTCCAAGAGCGAGAGGCCCGTTTCAACAATATGTCTGTGGCGCCTCTCAACTATACCATTGTGCTCTAGAGTATGAGGAAGAGTTGTAAGGTGAGATATACCAGTCTTGGATAATAACTGTCTTAGTTTAACAAACTCCCCACCATTATCAGAATAAATTGATCGAATAAAGGTGTTAAAATATTTCTCAACCAAAGTTTTGAATTGAGAAAACACATGAAGCACATCTGATTTATGCTTGAGGGGGTACAACCAAACATACTTGGTATAGTGATCTACGAAAATGACATAGGAAGAATAACCATGAAGGGAAGAATTTTTCCAACTCCATACATCACTGTATAACAAGTGTAAATGAGAGGTACTGAGTAGAGTATTATTGAAGAATGGTAACTTGTGACTCTTATGAATACAACAAACATTACAATAAAAATCAGCAAATTGAGTGGAGGACACAGGAACATGTAGTGTAGCTAACATATCCCGTAGCACTTTATTGGACGGATGACCAAGGCGATGATGCCACGTAGCCAAAGAAGTAGATGCGGAGACATGAACAGAAGGAGATTTAGACGGAGTCGCATAATAGATACCATCAACGTTCCGGCCGCGAAGCAGAAGCACCCCATTTTCAGATCCTTCACAAAAAAAGTATCAGAAAAGAATTCAACTGAAACATTGTTAGTACAACACACTTGAGAAACTGACACAAGATTTTGACGTAACTGTGGAACACAGAGAACGTTAGACAAACGTAAATTACGGGTGGGAGTGGGAATGGTCGTATGACCAACATGCATAATTTGTAAACCCTTACCATCAGGACCCCCATAGCCAGAGTAAGCTTGAAGCGGAGCTAGACTGGAACTTGTGTGATGACACTATCGAACATCCACGGATTTAGATGCTGAAATCCCCCCGTGGCAGTGTTGACCGAAGGTGCGGAAACAGTGGACAATCCATTCTCTCGTAAAAACTTGGCCAGCTTGCGGCACACTTGCACCGTATGCCCTAGGATTTGACAATAACAGCAAACCGATGCAGAAGCTGGGTCACCATGAGACTGATCACGTCCACGTCGCGAATTGCCATCCCGGGAGCCCATGCGATGTCTATATGTAAATTGTTGCTTGCCATGTGATGCAGAAGACAAATGCTGGGTCGCATGCGCTGTGGCTACTAGGGACTGCTTTGATTCTTCAGCAGCCTTAAGCTTGGTTTCATGCTCTTTGAGAATATCGCCAAGTTCAGTGAACGGAAGAGGGGATTCACGAACACGTGCAACAGAAACAATCGATTCATATTCTTCACCCATCTGATTTAGCACATGAACAATAAGATCCATTTCAGGAACAGGATGTTAGGCCAAGGCAAGATCATTCGCAATGGACTGCATATCGTTGAGGAATTCCTGAATAGATCGAGTGCCACGTTGATTTTTCGAAAGCTTGGACTTGAGGGAAACCACACGACCGCGTGAGGCACTTGCAAAGCTTGTCGTGAGATTTTTCCATGTGGCCGCAGAGGTCTCAGCCATGGATATAAGTGGCTGTATTGTGTCGGTACAGCTACCAAGGAGGGCGCTAATAATCACCTGATCGTGTCGAAACTAGGTGAAATGGCAAGGATTGACCGTGGTGCGAGCGGAATCATTGTAGAGTAGCGGTGCCGGAAGGGTACAATGAATATAACCGAGAAGGTTATATCCAATCAAGGTGCTGATTCCACATTCAGGATCATTTAGGCCTAACTGCATCTGTGCTAACTTCTCTTTTTTAAATTTCTTTTTTCACCAGTCTATACCCTCCACATCCTGCAGGTTGTGGGTGCTTGTGTTTTGACGCATTATGTTTATTTTTTTCCCTCAATGCCTATACAAATTTTTTGTAAGTAAGAAATGAAAAAGAAATAAAAAACTCTTATATTGAAACAAACACACACTTCTTGTAAAGTAATTATTAATCACATATGGGTAAGCAATAATTTTAATTTTCAAACCTGAAACTCTTTTATTTGATGTAGAAAAATAAATTCATCCCACATCTGCAACGTTATCTCCTTATAATCATCACCCGGAAACTTCCTATATTTTTCACTCAAAGGATTTAGGTATATACCCTAACGAGATCTACTCTATAATTTCAAGCTTTATTTGATATATCCTTTAAGGTTGTTTCCCTTGCTTTGTTTTTTTAGATCAATAACAGTGAACTTTTTTTTGAAAAGTAAGAGGGAATATATATTCATTGGTTTATACGTTAATAATACTAAAATAATATATGAATTTTGTAAAGAGTAAATATAAATACCAATTTATGTTGCCCTAAAAGCTCCCTTCTTGGTTCTCCATAATCTTTCCAATTTCTTAAAGTAATCTCTACTCTTGTCTTTGCTAGCATCCCCAAAAAACTCTCAAAAGTAGACACCTCTTCACTAGTTGGTCGTCCATATTCATCAAAACGTATATTAGGAGGTGGCAAACGACCAATATCAATCTTTTGTTGAAATGAGATTACGTAAGTAGGGCGCCTTTTCCTAACGTTATTCTTGCCTTTTGGTTGAGTAGTAGGAGAGTTGGGATGACTTGTGTCTTCATCTTGTTGGGATTCCATTGGATATTACCTACATAGACACCAAAAATATTTATTAGCATATTAACACCTTTGATACCTTATATTTAACAATTAACATTTGATATTATATTACATATTAAAAAGATATAATAGATATATAAATCTCACAAATAAAATAGAGGAACAAAATTGTCATTATTGTTCCCAAATTCCTTCGCGATGGTCATCTCGTGCAGCACGCATTCCGTCTACTTTCTTAATCAGTCACCGGAAATCTTGAAGTGAATGGTGGAATCTCATCAATTGCATAATTGGTATTATCACTGTCATCACTAATAATATGTCTTTTACCAGGAAGAACAACGGACCATTTTTTTATCATAAGGATCTCTAACATATAAAACCTGTTTTTCTTGTGTTGCCATTATAAAACGCTCTTCTTTATGGCCTTCTCTGTGTAAATCAACCAATGTAAATCCTAATTCATTTGTGCTCTTTCCATGTTGACTATCAACCCAACGACATAAAATAGCTAGAACCTTTAGCATTATATAATCTATCTCCCAAATTTTTTCAATCACGCCATAGTATATATGTTGATTCAGCCCAAATTGGATTTTTATCCTTTGAACTACTAAAGTGCATTGCCCAACTACTCACAGACACACCACTATTTTGTACAGTACTCTTCTCATCCTCTGACTTTGTGTAGAATGGAACCCCATTAATGTCGTATCCTGTGTAACACCAAACTTGTAACTTGGGTCGGTTGCTAACCAATGAATTTTCTCAGAATCATTTTTATCACAAAGAACTTTATTTGCAAACCAATCAGGAAAGGAACCACACTTTTCGATCCAAGATACTGAAACATGTCTCTCTTTTGAACTGGGCGAGTATGAATCCTAACTTTCTCTTCAGATTCTGACATCCTACCACTAAAACCACACTCCAAGTAGTCAGTCTTAGTCCTGCTCAGTCTGAAGCCTTTGGACTCTAGGGGCTGACACCACAACTCCAACTTATAATTGAATTCCTCTCGTGTCTCGTCGATAAAAACAATATCATCTCTAAAAAACATGCACCACAGAACTTCTCCTTGAACATCTTGTGACAGAAACTCCATCACCAAAGCAAAGAGGAAATGACTAAGAGTAGACCCCTGGTGTAATCCCACCGCTACAGGGAAGGGGATAGAGTCACCCCGATAGTCTTCACCCTAATTGCACGAATGTTAGCAACACCATTTGGAAATTGGAGATGCATCTTCAATAGAATAGTGTTATGTCAATAAAATAGAAGTGCTAATTACATTTAAAGACCATTTTCAAAATAAATTTTTTTGTAAGATCATTTTAACACATTTTTTAAATACGGACCAAAATCAAAAGTTACTTATTTTACAGGACTAAAACATATTTAAACCTATTCTTGTTAATAAAGAGAAATAAAAAAATTTGAGATAAAGAAGAAAACGAAAGACTAATGGGATGCGGAGAGTATTACTTCCTCCGTCAAAGAAATGTTTTTACTTCGTATTTCAATGTCAAAGTTTAATGATCATTTTTTGTTTAATTTCACAACTTGATAACATAAAACTCCGTATAGTATTGTTATTTTGTAAAAAACTATACTCCGTCCTTAATTAGATTATAATTTTTTTGAACTTTTGTCCTGATTTGAGTGGTAGCAAGCTCACTCCCTAGGATTCATGAGGAAGTTTACCTAGATTCGATCCCAAGCGGAAGCGAAATCATTAACTTTTTGTGCGTCATTAGTTTGAGAATAATATGAACTAATACTACTTTGTAATAGAGTCAATAACATTAAAAAATTACAAATTTTTTTCTCTCTCCTCTCAATAGCTTTTGTTTCAATAATTTTTGTTTATTTGAGTGTTTTCATTGAGTATTTGATAAAATAAAATATTCTTGTCACATCTTATTTTGTAGAACTTTTGACGTAATTTTTTAATATGTAATTTTTATTTCTTATTTATATACAAATTTGTAAACAAATTGATTTTAAAAGATAAGAGATTTTACCTTCTAACTCCCAATTTGTAATCAAATTAAGGACGTAGAGAGTATATGATTTCTAATTTTTTTAAATTTTACTTTGTATATAAATAAAATTGAAAATAAAATAGGGAGTAAGTCAAAATCTACTCCGTAAAATGGAAGAGGAGGGGAGCTTTATCTTTTCGTTTAAATGTGGAAAATTGAGAAATCAACGAAAAAAGGACAAAATAAAAAAGTTTGAAGTTTGAACAGATTGGAGAAAATCTTCCAAAATAAACCCGCACAAAGGGCATTATTGTAACAGCATTTTGAAAATTGAAAAAAGGGGGTCGTTGTGGCCCCCACATAGCGGTAATTGCATATACGGAGTACTTCCGTTTCTTCCAAGTTCTCTCTCACTTTACAGCCTCCCAATTCTCACTCTCCTTTCTTTCCTGCTAAGTTAGCTTAAAAAGGTGCGCCCCCTTTCTCCTCTGCACATTTGATATAATTTTCTGTTTCTCTCTCCTAGGGTTTATACTCTTTGGCACAATCTTTCAACTTCTGATATCTCAATTGCACTGTCTTCAATGTGAAATTCAAATATCACCTGACATTGCTGAAGTTCGAGTTCACTTCCTGCTTCATGTAAGCGCGCCTCTATGTCCCTATTTTTGATTTAAGTTGTTTAAAGATTTTCGGTAATTGCTGCGCTCCTTTGTAGGCTGGAGTATGTGGTTGTGGAGTATTATTTTGTTTTCTGTTTTAGAAACCTTTTGTGGCTTTGTGAATTGTAGTTGAAGACATAGTGAGGCGAAGCTAAGAAATGGCTTCCAGAGGAGGTGCTGAACCGTCGCTGCAGCGACGGATAACGAGGACCCAGACGGTGGGAAACATTGGAGAGTCTATGTTTGATAGTGAGGTGGTCCCATCGTCGCTGGTCGAGATTGCCCCCATTCTTCGTGTTGCCAATGAAGTTGAGCCCAGCAACCCCCGCGTTGCTTACCTCTGTAAGGATCTATCTTTTTGGTTTCTTGGCCCCCCCTGCAATCTTTTGGTTTATATGTAATTGCTTTCTTCGTGTAAGGACCTAATGAATTTGCTGTTTGATGTTTTGGCCTCTTAAGGAGCTGCCTTTACACTCAGCAGTTGATGTTTTTGAACATTCATTCCAAATGGATTTATCACATCTACTAAATTTAGTTATGCTGCTAACAATTCTCAGAATTTCATAATTTCCCAAAAAGGTAGAAACCAGAGAATGGAGAATTGACTTCAGTTCAAATTGTTTCCCCATGATAAAAGGATCTTTGATGTGTCTGTCTATTAAATGGACATGTTCTGCCTTTGTTTCTTTCATCAAATCTCCAACTATATTTTTGAATAGTTTGGAGAATGAGAAAGAATAAGAGAAGTAGGGAAATTAGAGTTGTGGAGAATGGTTATTATTCTCCTATACCAATAGGCCCTAAGCTCTTCTGCAACGTCCCACAATTTCTTGGTTTATAGCTGTAGATGTACTGATTTTTGGGTTTATAGTTCTGCACCCAAGAAAAAGTGTGTTACTTTCATTTGGAAATGATTTCTAATGACTATTTTTATTATCTTGTTTTTTGTTATTGTATCTTAAGCCTATTGAATAGATATGGACTGGAAAAGAGTCATATTTTGTTAGTACAAGGATATCATATTAGAGTGGCATATAAGAAGGGAGAAAGTATACTCTGTGTCTCAACCAAACTTCTTTTAGGGATTTAAACTCTAAATATAAGCAAATGAAAGTATTCTATTCCTATGTAACATTAAGAGGGTGCTCCGTTCACTTTATATTACAGTACTCTGACAATGTGATAATGTTGCATTGGAGTGTTTTATGGCATGTCTATGGTCCATGCTTTTTGACATTCCAAGGTAACCTAACTTTATTGCACGTAATATTTCATATTTGGTTAGACTTTGGTGGAATTGATACCACCAATGCTTTCAGATTATCTTACATTCCATTGCACATTGGTTATATTTTCCCCATTTTTCAATCTTGGAAAAATATATGTGGACTATGTGTAGGTGAAATTAAAAATCCAGGAAACCACATAGCCATTACATATTTTTTCCATGATCTAGAGACACGATTCTTTAGTTTTTTGGCATTGTAGTTAATAATAGTACTAATACTTACTCTGTAATTGTTATTAATAATTATAAACTATAAAAACAGACCTTGTATAATCCCAGCTCCGCAAGGGTCTTGGAGGTCAAGATCTACACAACCTTAATTTTGTAAAAAGGAGATATACTTTTCGGTTGGACCCTTGATGCATTTATTGGCAAAAATGCATAGAAGTAAGCAGCAAGGGAAGTTTAATGTGTCATATGGATTTAGTCCATTATTTATCCAAGGCTATAACAATGTAAAGAATGACTCTCTTAGCTGCATCGACATTAATATTTTTAAATGTTACTCCCTCCTTCCAAGTTGATTCTTTTTATTTTGACTTGGCACAAATTTTAATTTAAAATAAAAAATGTATTGACTTTCTCAAATTACCCCTATTCACTTGGAACTTGGATCTAAATTGCCTCCCGGAGCTCCTTCACTAAAGCTTTGCTCATGACACTAGAGGGAGAAGGATGGATCCTTGCAGACAAAATAGAAATCAAAATTGAAGCTTATGTGAAACTGATTCTTTTCCGCCAAAGGAGGAAAAGGAGACCAAATTGAAACTGATTCTTTGATGCTGACAAAATCGATTCTTTGCCGCAGACAAAATCAAAATCAAACCAAAATCGAAAGAGAAAGAAGATGGAGGGGTTGAGAGAACAAAGAGAAAGAAGTAACGAAAGATAAAAGAAGAGAACATCAGATCAATATGTTTTTATTTTCAGTTTTGATATTTTTTCATTTCCTGATTTGATATTTTTTCCAAATCTACCCATATTCTAAAAGAAAAGGCTGATGAGAGGCATTTTGTATCTTCGATTTTGGGTAGAGGGCAAAGGAGACCCTCCATGTTTGTGGAGGAGTAAATCTCAAAGCAGATGACAGGGGAGCCAAGCAAGGTGAAAGCACATACCACCTGGTAGTAGTATGCCTCAATGTTGTGCAGAGGCTATGTTTGAGGTGGGACACATGTGATGTTTGATGTAGAGTGGCGGCAACCATAGTAGGGGTGCAGTGGCGGCAATAGTTGGGTTGAGGCGGCTGCGATAGTTGATGGGGACTTAAAAGAGAAGATTAAAAAGGAAGAAGGATGAATTAGTCTTTTTGGAGTAATTTATTCACCATTTAAGGAATTGAGAAGAAAGATATGAGATGGCTGGAAAAGGAAAACAAAAAAAGATATAGGACGGAGGGAGAAAATAATTTCCCGGAGTAATACTATTTATATTTATTAACAATAATAATATAAAGCAATAATGTTATTATTATTGAATGGAATCAAATTTGAAGGTTTTAAATAAGCTATTCCCGTGTTTACAAAAGATGGCGTCCAACCAAACAAAGCAAAAAGGTAATACTCGTATTACATCTTTGCAATCCTATCAAAATACCAACTATACACAATTAAGTGGCTCAGGTGAACATTCACCAAGTAATATGATATGCTCTGAACCAAACAACCCTAAATGGATTTCCAAAACTACAAACTTAAAAAGGTTGCTGCTAAATAATGGATCACACTTCACATCATTTTGCAAAAAAACATGAACCCAGTAAATCTATTTGTTAGACCTAATCAACATGTGTATGTAGGCATACTCTTGATTACTTCTAGTAGTATTGAAGGAACGTAATTAGTCCAAAGATCATATTTAACAAGACGAGACTGAATTGGGGGGCTTGATTGCAATTTATAGTGTACTAAAAGGAAGCCTGGATTATTTAAATTTTATACGTTGTAATTGGTGCTTGTGATCCATTAAGTTTTATACCTGGCTTTTTATACCTGGTTGTTGGCCTATATTATTTAAATTTTATACTTTGCTTTTTGAGCAAGTGGATCGAGAGTGACTTCCCTCATTCGCATGACATGTTGAACTCACTTTAGTTCCATACACGGTCTTATATTTGGATGCTTTAGTTTTAAGGTTCTTAGGATTCGAAAAATGGTTTGCAATATATTAATAAAAGGATACATTTTGATTCTATAAAAGGTGTAGATGATGTGTTGTGTTTAAATTTTGAGATTATCTTATCATCTGTACTCCCTTTGTCCTAAATTCATATTCCGTGTGAAAATGACATGAATTTTAAGAATAGTGGAATTTTGTGGTTGAAGTTTTTGCACAAGATAGAGTAATAATATGCACCACAGTACCACACAATTCCTTCTTTAAATAAAACAAAATCATTTTGGGACTTAAAAAGGAAAGTGTGGAGATAATTTTGGGGCGGAAGGAGTTTTTACCTATAAGTATAACAGAGAGCTTTTCATCTAAAACCTAAAACAAATATGCATTTGAAATAATTGAAAATAGTAAAATTTCCAAAACGTTTAATATAAAATATCTATAAAAAGATAGAATTTCTAGACATCTGCTAATTAATTAAAAGGCCCCTAGAAGCTAGGACTTGGTGTACCAATGTTGATAACATAGTGTGCAAGTGCTGATTGATTACACTTGTTCAAACACCTCAACGTTGTGTCCAGCAATGTTTTCTTTTCAATTGTTAATGGCTGAGTAATGTATCATATGGTCTATTTGTTTAATGGGTTGTGTTTTGCTCCATTTTCCCTCTTGAATTGTTTTCATATGATCATACTAGTCTGCATATTTTCCATCTATGTAAATTAATATCTGGGGTCTTTTATAGGTCGGTTTTATGCCTTTGAGAAGGCTCATCGCCTGGACCCCACCTCAAGTGGACGTGGTGTACGACAATTTAAAACTGCACTTTTGCAACGACTTGAAAGGGTAAGTTCTTGCTTCCCATAAGTGGCATTTACATACAGTTTTGGTTACTGAATTTGTCTTATTTTTATGTCTCTGACTCTCCAATTTCATCATTCAAAAATAAATCCCCTTTATTGCATAATCGCATGTTAAAAACACAAAATGAAACAATGAGCCAGCCACATTCTAATGTCTGGTGTTGGTGTTAAGTGTAATCGTCAATATATCTATCTTCTAGTCGAGATGAGATTGACAAGATATTTTATCTTGCAAGTATGTTTGTGCCTTGTATCTTCTAAACACGTGTTTCCTTTTTACTACATATCTGTCTATTATGCTTGACCTTGTGCTTACTACTTAGCCTTAATAGGCACAGTTTATCATATATTAGTAATTTCTCTTTCAAGACACCTGTATCTGTTGTCGCTCGAGTGACATTAAAAAGTAGCAAGTAGACAATGGATAGTTTTCTGAATATCACAATATATTAATATCTGTACCAACTTGAGGACATGTCACTTGCCCCTTCACGGTTGCATTTATCCAAAAATTGTTTTACCTTCTCACGCTAAAATAGCCTTGTACTGTACGTCTATGTTACGAATGTAGAATAAGAAGATATCCATCCTCCCATCCCCATGGTGGAAGGAGTGGAGAGCAATTCGTGACTAGCTTCTCATAATTAGAGTATTGACTTCAACCATTGATGATTTTATTAAAATGAACATAACCCTTGTATATATACTAGTCCAACGAATTTTGGTGAGCAAGTTAATAGAATTCTAACCTAATACAATATTGCTATCAAGAATATTAACGAAAATAGAATACTAATGCTAATAGGAAACTATTACTACGTAATAATACTCCCACCGTCCCTATAAGATCTTCACATTTACTTTTCACAAGGTTTAACTATATCTTTTTTTCATTATATATTTTCATTAATCATTTGTTGAAAAAATTTAGTCAAGTCACCTCCTGTTTTGTAGCAGTTTTGACTTAGCTTTTAAGTATATAATTTTTCTTTTTAATTTACCTCAATATTGAAAGAAATTGAATTGAAAATAACTTTAGCCAAACATCTTAAACTACAATGTCAAGCTCTTTTTGAGACAAAGAGATTAATAATAATAATAATAATAATAATAATAATACCTCCTTCCCAGTGTATTTGTCTAGTTTGACTTTTTCGAGTCAAAGTGGACAAATTTTAAGCTTCAATAACTCTCAATTTGTATTGCACATTAGTATAATGAAATAGAATCTTGAAAATTTTTAATAAGATAAATCTAAAGAAATCATTTTTATACTAAAATACATTATGGTTTGAGAATAATTGAAGCTCAAAGTTCATCCAGTTTGACTCAAAAAAGTCAAACTGGACAAATATAATGGGAAGGAGGGAGTAATAATAATAATAATAATACACAACGGTTCTTTTGACCTTGGAACCTCAGGTCTTATTATTATTATTATTATTATTATTATTACTATTATTATTATTATTATTATTATTATCGGCAAGGATCTTTTGACCTTGGAACCTCGGGTCATATAATGACCCAGGCATTTACGGTGCTCCGTTCGTGAAATTGATAATTCTACCCCCTTAACCACCCCCCGAACCCTACCCACCCCCTACCGCCTACTTGCCCACCCCACCACAACACCCCCTGCCCTAGTAGTAGTAATAATAATAATAATAATAATAATAATAATAATAATAATAATAATAATAATAATAATAATAATAATAATAATAATACTCCCTCCGTCCCATATCTTTCTTCTCACTTTCCTTTTTAAGCCGTCCCACTTGATTCTTCCCGTTTCCTAAAATAGAATTAAAATTTATTTAAAGTTACTAATTTACCCTTCCATCCTTTATTCTTTTTTCTCTCCTCCACAACTCCTCTATCTTTTTTTCTTTGTTCTCGATCAGACCAACCACCCCACCATTCCCCTTTTTCTTCTTTTTTTTTTCTTTTCTTTTTCTTTCCTTCTTCTTCAGCCACCCCACCCCCCTCGCACACCTTCTTCTTCTTCTTCTTCTTCTTTTCTTCTTCTTCTTCAGCCTTTGTGTTCATCAGCGCCCACCGTACCCCCACGGCCCCACCTCACTTCTTCAGTCCGTCCTTTCACAGTGAAATGGTTTTAACTTCCTTTCGAATTTAGCAAGATCCAGCTAGAAAACCTACAGATCTGGCTCCCATCCATCTTCCTCGGACAAAGCTTTCACGAGGTGACGGCGGTAACGGAAGAGCTTTCAGGCGACGAGGTGATGGCAATCCCAACAACAATGGTGGATTGGAAATAGATCTCACGTCATCTCTTCAACTTTTTTTTTCAATTTCATTAGATATTGATTTTGAGCCCAATCTCTTCAAAGACGGAGATGGCAATAATGGAGTGGGTGGGTTTTAGAATGAAACTTTGCAGGGGTGAGGTGGGGTTGGGAGGATAAAAAAACAAAAGGGCAAATGTGGAAAGTCAAAGCAATTTTAGCATTACATTAAAAACCGTGCCAAGTCAAACTGAGAAGTTTCAACTTGGACGGAGGGAGTAATAATAATAATAATAATAATAATAATAATAATAATAATAACAACAACAACAACAACAACAACACTACAATTCTTTTGACACCAACATGACCTCAGGGTCCTACAATGCCCCGTTGGGTGCCCAGGTCATAATATGACCCGAGATTCCAAGATCAAAAGATCCTTGCTAATAATAATAATAATAATAATAACACTACAATTCTTTTGACACCAACATGACCTCAGGGCCCTACAATGCCCCATTGGGTGCCATATAAGGTCTTACACCCTAACACCCTTCGCCTAACTCCCCGCCTCACTTTGATGCAAGGCAGTGACATGCAACATATTGACGTCAAGGCCTTTGTCCCCTCCTCTAGCGAGAGCGATTCCCCACTCTTGAGCACATCCTTGGTCTCAGGCCTAAGAGCACCGTAGGACCCAAATAACTAGATGTCATGATATCCCATCGAGAGGTGGTGTCAGAGAGGTTGTGTTAGAACTTAAAACCATACCCTAATAATAATAACAACAACAACAATAGTAATAATAAAAACAATACTTGTATCATTACAACCTTTGTGCACATTAAGCATAACTTTGAGCTTGAAGAGATAGATACGTTGCACATGTGGCACAACACTTTCCAGATTCCACGATCAAATGACTTTATTGCAAGCCCATAGTTATCGAAGTACAACACTTGATAGTAGAAGTTCTTGGTATTACCCCAAGAAACATGGCATTCTTAGGCCGAATAGATGCATTTTCCATAGCTGGATGTGGCATGCGAGTAGTAAAATAGACAATCACTATACCATCATTCCACAACTTCAATGGTATAAAATCACTTTCTTGGCTTGCATACCCAATATTGGATTGTTTGATCATGACCTTTAGTGGTTCAACTTCAACTTCGATAATAACAACCTGATGTGCATGTGGTAATGATTGTAGAGGAGTAGGCAGATATTGGATTGGTGGAGACGACACTGTTGTTGAGGGCAGACACATTATAGACACATTATAGATACTGGGGTTGTCGCCATTATACAACAACTTAGTTGGATCCCACGCCTTGCCCCTACTCGAAGGTAGAGAGGCTGTTTCCAAGAGACCCCGACTCAGCTGCAAAGAAGAAGGATCACAACAGATAGAAGACCACATGGGATACTGAAAGCAAGGAAGCACAAATAAAACATAACACCAAGCACATTGAGTCAAAAACAATACTAAAATTAACAAAGAAAAAGTATTGCAAACAAATAGTACCAAGCATACAAGGCATATGTGCTACGTAGTACACAATACTAAGTATTGAAAACTACCCTTAGTCTAAGGCGCCTTCCCAATTATTCTAATCCTAGCTCTCCAAACACTCCTATCTAAGGTCATATCCTCAGTAAGAGCAAAAAATGCTAAGTCAAGTCTAATCACCTCATTCCAATTCTTCCTAGGTCTACCCCTTGCCCTACTCCGCCCACCAACGTAAGCATCTCACAACTCTGCACTGGGGCGTCAACATTTCACCGGCTCACATGCACGAACCACCTCAACCGAGCTTCCTGCATCCAAGCCTACCCTTCCTCGAATAACCTCATTCAGAATCCTGTTCAACCGCGTTTGCCCACACATCCACTGCAACATCTGCAGCTCCGTTGCATGCAGCCGACGGGCATGATTTTTCACCCCATACATCATATAGACCGATAGAACTTACCTTCCATTTTAGCCAAAATCTTCTTGTCGCACAGCACCCGTGATGCCAACCTCCACTTAGCCCAAGCCGTTCCAACACGATGCACAATGTCCCCGTCCAACTCCCAATATGATCGAGCCAAGGTATCGAATCTTGTCAACCTTGGACACTAGGTGAGAATCAATCCTAACTTCCACTCCTAGTTCCATCTCGCAGCCACTGAAACGACATTCCATATATTCAGGTTATACTTGATATTCATGTTGCAACATCATTCTTGAATCTTTTCTTTGTGAAGTTCCCTTTTGATAACTAATTAACTATTGTATCTAGAACAGAATCAAAAAATAACCTACGCTTGAAGATCAATCCCATCATATTTTAGTATTTCAAGATGTTGGACCTATCGCTTGGAGAATACACAATATAAGTCAAACTCATAAGCGAAATGACAAAATTTAGAGATATAGGTGTGCAAAATCTAAACTCCTAGTTCTTTTTCGGGGAGAATAACGATGAAAATGATAGGAAAGAAAACGGCTTTGACCAAATTGTTACATTCCTTAGAAAAAAGATATTGGTCCTTCTTAGTCCCTGGCTGGGTCTGTGACAAGTTTCTCATAATTAGAGTTTTGACTTCAACAAATGATGATTTTATTAATGAATATAATCTTTCTGTTTAAATTACTCCTAAGAGTATGGTAAGGTAATAGGTTTTAACCTATTACAATATTGCTATCAAGAATATTAACTAGAACAGAATACTAGTATGAAGCGTTAGAATATAAAAACCTTTCTTAGGCCACAAGCAAAAGCTTGAGCTTTTGGTTGAGTTGGTTCCTTGACATGATATCCGAGCCTTGTTGACTAAGAAGTGGCAGGTTCGAAACTCAGCGCCACCCAGTTTAAAAAAATAAGGTTTCACGTGCAAGGCTCGAAGTAGCCACACCTTCACGTGAGGGGGCGTGTTAGAATATAAAAACCTTTCCTGGGCCATAACCATAAGTTTGATTTTTTTTGAAAGTAAACTTGAGTTTTTGGTTGAGTTGGTTCCTTGACAGGAAGCTATTACTGCGTCATAATAATAATTATAATAACAACAACAAGAAAAATGAAAACAACAATAATGATATGATAAAAACAATAAAACAGAGTGGACAAGAACAAAGATGTAAAGGGTAGGAAAGAGAACAGCTTTGATACCAGATTGTTAAGAACATAGGAGCAAACTTAGAAAAAGAAGATATTGATCCTGTCTTGCCTGTGGCTAGAAGGTGGGAAGGGGAAGGATCCGTTTGTGACTAGCTTCTCCTTGTTGGAGTTTTGACTTCAACCATTGATGGTTTTTGATAGAATTTAGGATGAGGTAGGGATAACTGGATTGGTCCGTAGGCACTTGGGCTAAACCATATTAAAAGATTGATTCCAATCGATTAGTTAGTTCAACTCAAGAGCTAATGTACCGATTTATTTTCTCTTCAAGTTTCGATATGGGATACCCTTTAACAATTTTATTAATGAATTTTTACCCTTTATTTACACTACTTCCAATAATCTTGGTGAACAAGTTAATAGAGTTCTAACTTAATATTGTTTAGCTATCAAGAATATTAATTAAAATACTCCCACCGTCCCACAATGTTTGTCACATTACACAAAACGAATTGAAATTTTAAGTTTTTTCAATTCATTTTATTTAAAGATTGGTATAGAAATAAAAAATAAAATTTACATATTTAAAATTTACGTCAAAAGTTCTTCGAAACAAGAGGTGAAAAGAATATTTTATTTTATCAAATATTGATGACAACGTACAAATAAACGAAAGTTCCCGTGATTTTTGAATAGTGAACTGTAGCATTCTTTTTGGGACGGAGGGAGTATAATATTAATATCAAACTATTACTGCTTAATAATAATAGTAGTTATAATTACTGTATCAGCGTTTTACAATATTCAACAATTGAACTTTTAGTTATTGAGATTTGACTGATCTTTCAGGAGAATGATCCAACCTTGATGGGCAGGGTGAAAAAAAGTGATGCCCGAGAAATGCAGAGCTTTTACCAGCATTACTACAAAAAGTACATCCAAGCTTTGCAAAATGCGGCTGATAAAGCTGATCGGTAATTTTGTTTTTGCCCTTTTGCTCCCCTTTATGAAGTGTTTTAAACATTAATAGTGCTCTGTTGTAATTTTTTGACCCATTACACTTTCAGCGCACAGCTTACAAAAGCATACCAAACTGCAAATGTTCTCTTTGAGGTCTTGAAAGCAGTCAATCAGACTCAATCTGTAGAAGTGGATCGTGAGGTGAGCATGAGAAACATTGCCTGTTCTTGTGCACATGCCATAATAACATAGCCTTTATATATTTGTATACTTTATATTTGTACGTAAAAGATATCTTTATGAAATTTACTTCTCTTGCATGCTAATTCAAGTGTTTTCAATTATGCAGGTGTTAGAAACTCATGATAAAGTTGCTGAAAAGACAGAAATATATGTCCCATATAATATACTTCCTCTTGATCCTGACAGTGTGAACCAGGCTATCATGAAATATCCAGAGGCTCGTTTTTCACTTTATTGGAATTCTTTAATGTTTAAGTTTCATCTTATGTTTCTTTCTGACATTCTCTTTGATTCAACACCTTCAGATTCAAGCTGCTGTTTGTGCTCTTCGAAATACCAGGGGTCTTCCATGGCCTAAGGATTACAAGAAGAAGAAAGACGAAGACATTCTTGATTGGCTTCAGTCGATGTTTGGTTTTCAGGTGAAGGACAAATTTTTCAATGGGAGGGGGGGCCGGGGGGGGGGGTACTTATGTTCCAGGGGAACGACAAATAGTTAGATTATTCATTGAGAGTTTGGATAATATCTGTTTTCTGGGTATGGTTTTAAAGACATGAGTTAACTTAATAGTGACTGGCCCAATAAATTTGCAGAAAGACAATATTGCGAATCAAAGAGAGCATTTGATATTGTTGTTAGCTAATGTTCACATACGACAGTATCCAAAGCCTGACCAACAGCCTAAGGTATGTTGTAGAGTGTAGACAACTTGTTTTTTCTTTTAGAGGCAATCAAGTTGTGTACCATTTCACAAAATTTTTATTTCTAGTCTTTTTATCATGGAACAAATGTAATGAGGTTTATGAGTTAAAAGTTGTTGTAATATGTAGATCATGCAGTTAAAGTGTCAAACTATTTTAATGAATTCCATTAAGCAAGCTGAACCTTTATATTTGAGATTGTATTTTGATGACTGTTTCAATTTTCCTATGAAGAAGCTCTTAGACATTACAATGCAATCATAAATTCATAATTGAAGTACATTTTTCACACCATTGTATTTTGCACCATCTTTTTGTTCAAACCTTTTTCTCTGAACTTGTTTTTAATTGAAAATGTAACCTATGTTAGTATGTTACTCATCTCTCTCAGTTGGATGAACGTGCGCTAAATCATGTAATGAAGAAGCTTTTCAAGAACTACAAGAAATGGTGCAAGTATTTGGATCGGAAAAGTAGTCTGTGGTAAAATTTCTTAAACCTGAAAGCTCCGACTTCTTTGTAAATTTTATATCTGAAATAAAAATTTGACACACTTATTTTTTAGTTACGAGAGAGTATCATGTACTATGTTCTAATACGTAGCCAGCATAGTTATCAAGGCGTCGCCTAGGCGACGCTTAGGCGTCTGGGCGAGGGTTGGTGGACGCCTAATTGGTCGCCTAGCTTTTTTTTCCCTGGGCGACTGTGTTGTACAGTGACTGTGTCACCATCTCCGAGACGCGTCTCCATTTTAGAAGCGCAATGGAACGGAGGAGGAGATAGAGAGAAGACGGAGGAGAGGGAGAGAAGACTTATTTTATCGCCGATTATTTGTCGTGGTGCGGCTTCCAGATCTGCGACCTCCACTGCCTCTTCCTATCTCTCTATCATTTAGACTAGTGGACTAGGTCAAATAACTGGGCTAGATTCATTAATAGACTATTGGACCTTCACACAGGAGTATAAGGCCCAAAATTTAATAGGCCTTTTAAAAGCACACTTTATTGGAGTAGGCTTTTATATATATATATATATATATATATATATATATATATATATCAGTGTTCATTTTAATTAATTATTTCATACTATATGCTTTAACATTAGTACCTATAAAATTATTATGGTCGCCATAGCCTACTCGCCCAGCGGACGCCTAGGCGGGCGCCTAATCGCCTAGGCGACTGGACTAGCGCCCAGCCTCGCCTAGCCGCCTTAACAACTATGGTAGCCAGCAAAAAAGTTCAATTGCATAAATATGCCTTTCTTGATAAAATGTAGACGGTAAAGCAAAAAATTTATGTTCTTAGAGGTAAAGATTAAAATATCTCTGATATGAAATGATATTTCTCCAATATAACCAGTTTTGAGCACATACAACATTTATATACAAGGTAAACCGATAATTCCATCCGAATTCAGGTAATCCCAAAAATAAAATTATTGAGCAAGCATAGATTAATTTTACATAAATATCTGTGAATCGATTACCTAGTTTTAGTCAAGAGCTTATATACCGATTACTTTTCTATTCTACTTCCGGTGTGGGATAGATTCTAACAATTTGATTTGAATCTTTCTGGTCTAATCCGAACCGATAATATTCTAGTTAAAGCCGTTTCGGATCTGGTTTGATCTAATCTAATACTCCCTCCATCCAAGATTAAAGTTCCCACTTTGACTTGGCACGGAGTTTAATAAAACTTAAAATTTGCTTTGACATTCCCAAAATACCCTCCACCTTAGACCACTTACCCACCCATACTGCCGCCCAACCACTCCCCCTCCCCCATCATTCCAGAAGACCAGAACCAGCCAAAGCAAAACTCCGAAAACGAAATCGATCATACTTCCAGGGAGAGAAATTTCCCTCAACCTCAACATTTCAGAATTCTCGCAGGCAACCTTTAAGGCCCTATTCGAGCTATTCCCGCCCAAAGTAGAAAAATCGAAGATATGAAGAAGATGAAAAATATTTGAAGATGAAGATGACTTGAAGAAGAAGAACCTTTGTTGATGCTGACCTCCTTCACAGATCTGAATCGAACCCAGATCTAAAGCGAATTTCTTAGTTCTAGCGGAGATTTGAATGATCTGANTGGAGAAGAAAAGAAAGAAGAAGAGAAGAAAAAAAGAAAGGAAAAATCGGTCGGTTGAACAAACCGAATGGGGAGAGGGAAGAGGAAAATAATGAGGAAGAAAAAGAAAAGTAGAAGAACAATAAGAAATAGAGAAGAAGAAGAAAAGAAAGAATCGGATGGTTCTTGAGAGAAGAAAAAGAAAGGAAGGTAGAAGAAAAGAAGAGAGAAATTGGGGGAAGGGTGGCTGCGGAAGGAAAAGAAGGAGAAGAGAAAAAGATAAGGAGTAACAAGATGTGGAGGGTATTTCAGTCATTTTAACAAAGAAAAGTTTCCAAAATTGGAAACGGGAACATTAATTGTGGACGTCCTGAAAAAGAAAGTGGGAACTTTAATCTTGGACGGAGGGAGTATGATATGAAATATTTTATCTGATGTGATTCCAATAAATATAAGTTAAAAAAGAACATGCCCTTAATGTCCATTTGTGTTCAAAATTGCATTAGTGATTAAGTGAATGCTTTAGAAAGTAATCTTGTCCTTTGGTACGCCTTTTTTATGCTGACTAGTTTTATTTTTTCTTTACCAAATGTATAGGTTGCCAACCATACAACAGGAAGTGCAACAACGGAAACTTTTATACATGGGGTTGTATCTTCTTATATGGGGTGAAGCTGCAAATTTGAGATTCATGCCAGAATGCTTATGCTATATATATCATCATGTATGTTCAAAGATACAATTTGTACATAATAGACTTATACATTTCCATAATTTTTTATTTGTACCTTGCTTTTTGGTAAGATCTAGAGAAAAACAAAATATATGTTTTCTCACCTTTAAGTAATAGAATGAGATAATGCACTATGTTATTGTTTCTATTTTGGCATGAATTAGTAGATGACATGAATTTTGAAGGGGAAGAAATTCATAGAAAAGGAACCGTGGTTTACTTTAACGATGTGTGTGTTAAAAGAAGTGTGGGCAATTTCGTGAGGCATGTGATTTTTGGTGGTGCTTTTAACATTGGAAAGTAAAACTGCTCAAACAAAAAAATAAAATTACTTCAGGCCCTACTATAAACGAGTATGTATCTGGTTGGTCATTTTTCATAGATTAGGTAGATGTGCGTAGATCCGGGTTATATTAATCTTTGCATTGATGCTTGTTTATGGAATATATTTTCAGATAAACACTATCACTCTGCTTGGCAGATAAGCTTCGGTTTAATCAAATAGCCAAATAATTTTTGAGGATAGGACACAACAATGTTAATTTGTTGTAAGCCACCTTTTCATTATGGTAAATCATAACCTGTCAATCAGCTGGTCTTCAATCCTCTAGATGAGCTTTAGAATTAGAGTTGCTTGTAGAATATGAAGTATTTTGAGTGTTCTTGATAAATATATTCCTTTTCCAAAAAATTCTTACCACTTCCTTATTGGGAAAGAGTTATGTGGTCTTTATTAATTCATAGTTTCTAAATAAATTTCAACCATACAATTTCACAGCATGAAATAGTGTAAAAAGTAATGGGGAAGAACATTATGCAAAGGAGAGAGTATATTAATAGATAAATCAAGTATGAATAATTGGAATCATAGTAATATTTTTTATGGACTTATTTGTCACAATGATTAAGATTTGGCTTAACCGGATAAGAGTTATGCTATGGCTTTTATTAACTCCATGTGTGTGTGCTTGTTATTTGTTAATGTATGACTACTATCTTTCCTTTGTTTATTAAATCCTTTCATCTCTCTCTTATATATATATATATATATATCTATTTTTTATTTATTATCCAGATGGCTTTTGAACTCTATGGCATGCTAGCTGGCAATGTCAGTCCCATGACTGGTGAAAATGTGAAGCCTGCCTATGGAGGAGAAGAGGAAGCTTTCTTGAGAAAAGTTGTTACACCGATCTATGAAGTGATTGCACAAGTGTGCCACCTATACTCTTTTACTCTATTAATTTGTTATTCTGACAAACTACACTATGTACTTGCTGGGAATTTCTTATAGTTTTTCAGGTGAATATCTCTTAGCCATCTCTAATTTTTTTAGGAAGCTGCAAGGAGTAGACGAGGAAGATCAAAGCATTCTCAGTGGAGGAACTATGATGATATAAACGAATACTTTTGGTAGTTTCTCTTTTATTTTGACTACCTCACTACCTACGATGTTAATAAAAAAAGTGCACCTGCATAATGCCTAATTGGGGATTAGACGAGATCTAAGTGGAATTAGGTGGGATGTAAGCGGGAAAAAACCTTGATTCGGGAGGACAGCCTAGTGACTTGGCAAGGATTAATCGGGGGTAGACAATATTTTTACAACAATGCCTTCCCCTACTCTAAAACTAAGTGCTATATTTTCTGTTTGCTAACCTGCTTCATGATGATTAACTTCTAGGTCTGTAGATTGCTTCAGGTTAGGTTGGCCTATGCGTGCAGATGCTGATTTCTTTTGCCTACCTGTGGGTGAGCTTCGGTCTCGGAAAAATGATGTAAGTTTCAGTTTATCAATTGTGAAGATTGTATTACCATTGCATGATTTTTTTCATGACTTATTATTTTCTTATTTGCTCTTACTTTTCTTTTGTGGAAAGTGGAATGATCATTTCATGGAGGAGAAAACAAGTGAGAGAGTAGAAACTAGAATTGAAAATATAAAATAAGATAATTTATCTCATGAGTATCACTACACCTCATGTATACTCTATCTGACTACTTTGTATGACCTATTTCTGTGCAATCCTTAATTATTTACACTTCGGGATCTATCCCAAAGAGTTAGAGTAGTATTCACATGCCATATATGTCGGTAGCATGGTTATCGCAGTGCCGCCTAGGCGTCCATTCTTCATTTGCCTTGCCAGATCTCTTGGAATCATCAGACGGTGATTAGTTGACGACATGGTGTTTAGGCAACATATCCTCGCGAGTAAGGCGCCAGACCCATTAACCCTAGCTTCCGTAGGCCAGTTTTTCTTCCACTCGCCCACTTGTCGATGGCAATTGGAGACGTCGAGCATAGGAAGTCAATCAATCATCTTTTGCTGAAGGTAATCAATATCTTCTGGCGGCCATTGGTGGCCACCCTCTTATTGACTCTTCCTTCCTTTTTTTCCATTTTATGACTATATTATTGAGTGTTCCGTAAATTACGACCTAGTAATCCTAGCTTCCATTTTTGTCCATATATTTTTAAAATTTCAAAAAGTCTGTTGTTCAATCTCTTCTTTTTTCTTTTTTATTTCTTTGTAATCTTGAAGTCGTGTGCCTAGATCAAGTTTACATTTGACTAAGTTGTCCTTTTCTATACAACTCAGTCCTCACATATGCGTATTCTCCACCCAAACTAGGTTACTCCTTGTTTTTCTTTGTTCCTCAATTAAGTAATAAATTAGGTCAAACTTAACTCACTTTGTGTTCTTATTTTCACTACTCATTTCTAAAATAATAGTCTGTCACCTCTTGTTTTGCAAATTGTTTATGTAGTTTTTTACTATATAAATTTTATTTTTTCATTTTACACCTACAATTAAATGAAATGAATTGAAAATAAAGCCTCGTGACGTGTAATGGGAAGATCTTTTGTGACGTGTAGTGGCTTATTGGAGCAGGCCAACCTTGAAGTTCACATGCTCTTTATTGAGATTTAACATTATCAAATTGCTCGTTTGAGTTTTTAATTTTATTTTTTTTCTTTGCTCATTTTAGTTTAATAGGCTTGATATCATATTAAGACTCAGATTTCATTCTAAAAGGTCATTTTGATATGGATAGTCCAATGACACAAATTGTCCAACTTATATGTTGGTTTATATTAGTATTATTTTTCTTTATTTAGCCCATGTGGTATGGCTAAACAGTAACACTAATGACTATGTGCCACTTTTTGGCTAACTTCTTTTATACATAAGAATATTTAAAATTGTATTTCTACAGAATCCATTCTCTAGATTAAATCATATTGAGCTTAGCAGTCTCCCCTCCATAAGCAATTTTACTTTTATTTTACAACTCAAGTTCATGTGAAACTAGAAATTGATTAATTTAGTTATCCTTTGTATAATCTGTTACAGAAATCTTGTGTGAAAATATCTTGCTAGGAGTTATATATGGTGCTAAGAGAATTATTGGTCATTATGTATGCATAATGATTATGTATGTATGAATGAAATATTTTCAAGTTTTTTTTGTTTTTGAAAAGGGAATATATTCAAGATTGATTTGCAAGAAAATATATTTTCATTCACTTTCCACGAGATCACCATTCCTTTGATATACGATATAATAACAATTCATAAATGAGTGACACTTTCAATGAAATTTGATATTGTACAATTAATTCACTTAGTTGGTGATGGATCATCACACACAACATATTCAGGGGAATGTGGCTTGGTGTATGTTGTTTGCAAATGACATTGCTGTTGTGATTGACAAGACACATGACTACATGAGGGACTCAATGGTAGGTTGGAGGTGTGGAAGCAGACCTTGGGATCCAAAGGTTTCAGATTGAGTAGGACTAAGACCGAGTACATGGAGTGCTTCTCTAGTGGTAGGACAAGTGAGTCGAGAGTGGAGGTGAGGATTGATTTGCATCGGATGCATAAAAGGGCCGAGTTTCAGCACTTGAGTTCCATCATTCAAGTAGATGTCGGGATCGATGCGGATGTTGTTCATCGTATTGGAGCCGCATGGACTAAGTGGAAACTAGCTTCTGGTGTGCTTTTATGACAAGAGGATATCTATAAACCTGAAACAGACAAGAGGATATCGACAAAAACCTGAAAAGGAAGTTTATTGCGAAGTGGTCACACCAGCTATGTTGTATGGTGCAGGATGCTGGGCGGTAAAGGACACTAACATTCCGAAGTTACGAGAGGCAGAGATGAGGATGTTGAGGTGGATGTGTGGGCATACAAGGATAGGTTAGATCCAGAACAAGGATATTTAGAGTGGCCTCCGTGGTGGAACCGTGGAAAAGCAGGGGAAACCCAGCTTGAGATGGTTTGGGCATGTACTGAGGTAAATTACACAGTGAGGAGGTGCGAGAGGCTTATGGTAGGGGGCATTAAGATCGGGGAGCGGTAGATGTACTCAAGAAGAGTTGGAAGGAGGTGGTTAGATATAATTTATGAATTCAGTATTTCACCGAGGATATGACCTCACAAATGAGTTTCTAGAGGTCTAGGATTAGAGTGGTTATTGGTGGGATAGACTTGTGGTCTTTAGTTCGTAGCATCTGAATGTGTGCTTTTCTGCCTTAAATAGTTTCTGCATGTGTTATTTTATGGTCTTTGTTTCGTGCTACTTTCCTTTGTCGTGATCATGTGTTTTGAATTGGGGGTCGCTTTGAAACAACCTCTCTACTTTCTTAGTATGGTAAGGTCTGCGTACACACACCTTTCCCAGACCCACTATATGGAAATATACTAGGTCTGTTGTATGTATGCATGCATGCATGTATATGTATATGCATTTGATTCTAATACGCTGGAATCACTCTTAACTTTTTGATAAGCATGCTAGAGATCGATGGGTAGGGAAAGTTAATTTTGTCGAGATACGTTCATTTTGGCACATCTTTCGAAGCTTCGACAGAATGTGGAGTTTCTTCATATTGTCTTTACAGGTATATTCTTCTCAACTACATGTTTTTCATATCCTGTGTTGCATTTAATTTATTTGGCCTTTTTTCCAGGCAATGATAATTGTTGCATGGAACGGTACTGGAGAACCTAGTGGAATATTTGATGCTGGAATTTTTAAGAAAGTACTTAGCATCTTTATAACTGCTGCAATACTGAAGCTTGGACAAGGTTTGTTCAACTAGTTTGGTTACCTGTCTTCTATAAATCCTGCCCTCATCCCAAATGGAACAGAAATAAGGGCTAGAATGATATGATAATTGAGTCCAACAGTTGCCCAAAGTTCATGTGTTTCCATATTATATATTCAAAAGAGAATTTTAAAGCATGTTCGTCTTTCAATGTGGTCCATTTACATAATGCTTAATTAACACACACACACTCACTCACACGATGGAGTTAATGATTCAAAGGGAGTTTTTTCCATCTTTTGTTTGGATAAATATTTTTTGATGTCCCTAGATATGACCCATTTATTTACAGGCTTGCAAATTGATTGACAAGGTTCACTGCATAAAACATATTTCCTTCTATACAAGAAATGAAATTTTAGACTAATATTTTAGCTGTTTATTTCTGAAATGTTGAAATATTAATATTCAAATATTCTACCCCCATTTTCTTTTTACATGGAGTTTAAGGTAAAATTCGTGCATAGGAGAAATAATTGATGTGACCCATACAATTCTTTCTTTAAAAGGAAAGGGGATGATTAATCATGGACATCCAGAAAAGGAATGTGGAAAGATTACAAAGGAACAAGTAGTAACTCTTAATTTCTTTTAAAATAATATAACCTTCATCTAAGCTCTTACCTTAGTTCCTTGTATACTATCATTTACCATTAAAGGCCAGCTTCCTTACTATCTACTTAGATTTAGTTGCATGCCGATGTACATATGACTGCTTGTTTATAACTGATGCAGATAGTATGCATATTCATTTTTCTAAATTTGCTAACAATTATATTTCCATTGCAGCCATTTTTGATGTGATTCTTAGTGTCAAAGCAAGGCAAAGCATGTCATTTTATGTTAAGCTAAGATACATCCTAAAAGTCATATCAGCTGCCGCTTGGGTGATAATCCTAGCTGTTACTTACGCTTATACATGGAAAAATCCTCCATCATTTGCCCAAGCCATCAAAAATTTGTTTGGAAATAGTTCAAATTCTCCCTCACTGTTTATCCTCGCTGTTGTCATGTACCTATCACCGAATATCCTTGCAGCAGTATTTTTCCTTTTCCCACTTATTCGTAGATTCCTTGAGAGATCAAACTACAAAATTGTGATGCTCATGATGTGGTGGTCACAAGTATGTACAATTGATCTGTTTCCTTTGTTGGTTTTGATTTTGAGTAAGACTTGTATATATAGTAGCTGTTGATCTGATAAACTTGGGTTCTGATTATTTAACAATGTTTTCAGCCTCGACTCTATGTTGGTAGGGGAATGCATGAGAGCGCATTTTCTCTGTTCAAGTATGGCTTTAGAAACTGGTGATTATTATTTGAAAGATAAACTACTTGTTTCATTTTTACTATAATAAGCTGTTGTAATTTTTTCAGGTACACAATGTTCTGGGTTCTACTTATTGCAACGAAGCTAACATTCAGTTTTTATTTAGAGGTAATTGCTAGCCTTTTTACCCTAAGCAAGCTAGTTTTTCATTTAGAGGTAATTGCTAGCCTTTTAGCGATGGATTCCAAACCACATGTATAAAACCAGAAACCGCAGCACATTGCAAAAATGCAGTTCCAAACGAGCTACAAAAATGTGGTTTAAGAAAATACCAGACCATGAACATGGCATAAGCATCCAGTGCGATTTCCAACCACTCATGCACGTAGGATTATGTAATCATTATTCACATATGATTACCATGCTTGTTTCTATCGTCATTCATGTTAGTATGGGATTATACCATGTCAAGATTTTCTCCATTCATTGCATCTATTATAACCCTTCGCAGGCTTTGGTTGTTTTCCTCCACTTTGTATTTTTCCTATTTGTTTAATAAAATGATTTTATTTAAAAAAATCACTCAAAGTGAAATTACTTGAATGACTATATTTTTAATAAGTATGAATGATTCCATCTGTGTGCTTGCACAGCGAACAAGAGCAATGGTGAACTGATGGAAAATGTCATATGTACAGATCAGAGTACATTCAAAGTTTAATGTATTCAACCTCAATCAAAAGTAAATGTGCCAGTTAGAAGTTTAAAACAATCATATATACCCAATTAGTTTCAAAATTTGTAACATAGGTGCAATTCCGGTCAGTTATTTACTCAGAGCAAAGAAATATACTCAACCACGTTGCCTCTTTTCTGAAAATATTTTGATAATTTAGAACACATTTAGGCCTTGTTCTTTTGGGTTGGAAAACTCAACTTCCAACTCCTTCCAACTCCTTCGAGTTTCTTCCAACTCCTTCCAGTTTCTTTCAACAATGACTTAAAAAAGGTATTTATATATGATGAATATACAATAACATTATATATCCAAATTTATAACATACCACCTCAAACACGCACAAGGATGAATTCTTTTTTATCCAAAACTAGAGTTTTCTTACATATTTATTTGCTGTAAAGTTTGATATATTCACAATAATGTTTCAAATATTAGTTGTAAGTTGTCAACATTAAATTTTAAAGGGGTTGTTTGAGTCACCAATGTACGAGGCAACTGCTCATTGATTGATGAAGAGTCTTGTCTCATATGCACTCATGGATGCTGACACACACATCACCAACAACAATCATAGGCATATACGTCAACAGTATGAAAGGAATACAATGGGTAGTTCATATTATGATAGATTGAATGTAGTCTAGGTTATCTTAAAATTTATGTTTAGGGGTCAATTTGGTTTAAATGATTTCAACTTACCCAGGTAAGTTTTTAAGGTTATTATTTTACTAGGGTAATATCATATTACTGTCATGTAGGCAAACATGGCAAAGCTAATCTGGGTAATATGGTTACCTTTGGTTTCTTAGATAGTGTTAGTCTTGCTGTATGTTGTTTAATGATAACATGATGTAATTTTGTCTACTGCAGATCAGGCCTTTAGTAAGTCCTACAAAATCTATCATGCATGTCCACATAACGACTTATAAGTGGCATGAATTTTTTCCGCATGGTATGCCTGTCTTTTGAGAAAGTATTATTAACGTAATAACTTCTACTTTTTGTTTACTGAGGTTATAATGAAACGATTCATATGCAGCTAGAAACAATATTGGTGCAGTGGTAGCACTTTGGTCTCCAATTATTCTTGTATGGCTATCTATTGCACTATTTATGTTTAATTCTAAGTTGGTGTTCTATGTAACATGCTATATTGATGATCAACATACTTATGCATTGTACTAGGTATATTTCATGGATACTCAGATCTGGTATGCGATATTTTCAACGCTGTTTGGTGGCATTTATGGGGCTTTCCGTCGACTTGGAGAGGTCTTTGGATTTTCTATCAATTAACACTTAAATATGTAGACCCTTCACCTGGCTTCATTTACTGTACAGTGAAGAGCTTGTTCTGGAATGTAGAGTTTTATATATATTTAGTTTTACCGTATTAAAATAACGGCTATTAGTCAAGGCCGGGATATTGTTGGCTTGGATAGTAACCCGCATTACCCACCTCTCCTCTTTACTGTTCTTTTTAGGTATGGAGTTATAATGAACACACATCATGCTACTGCTTTCTTTCAACTTTGCCATTATGTAATCATCATCATACTTCAATCTCCTTACACCTTCTACATCATAAATCATCCAGACTTTTTACTAGGCAATCTAGTGCAACATGATGTTTCAGCCATAAACCACTTTTTTCCTATTTTATATTTTCACTCAGGTAGCATTTGCTTTATTTCTGTTTGCAAAACCTCTTTTTGCAGTTTTGCCTCTGCTATCTGTTTCCACTATTAATTTAAAAAATTACACTATTAATTGAATTATTACGAGTATTTTTTACTTATTTATGATATCCTGTTATCCTATACTTATAAAATATTTAATATCATGAACTAACTATTGTAAATGTCATGTCATCTAATTCTATTACGAAGTGTGCACGTCTGCTTTGTTCCTTAAATGTCTTTACCTTCATTCAGATCCGTACTTTAGGAATGCTGAGGTCCCGGTTTAAGACTTTGCCAGCTGCTTTTAATGCATGCCTAATCCCGGAAGATAAGAGCGAGCCACCAAAAAAGAAGGGATTGAAGGCCACTTTTTCCCGAAACTTTGCCGAGGCTAGTATCTTACGTTTTTCTGTTTTTAATGTGGAAATGTTACCAGGCTTGGCTTTGTGCACTTTGGGGGAGGGGTTTACCATTAGAGTACTTCATGTTTTGTTAATGCAGGTCCCATCCAACGACGAGAAAAAAGCAGCAAGATTTGCTCAGTTGTGGAATAAAATTATCTCTAGCTTCAGAGAGGAAGATCTTATCAGCAACCGGTAGTTATTAAGATTATGTATATATTTCATTTATTAAACTGTCAATATGAGTGTTGCTTTCATTAATTAAAACAACTACACACACATACCTATGGGAGATTACATCTAACATTTTGCAGCTGCTCATGAACAACATTGGTATAGCATCCGTGTCATTATTAGATCCACTTCTCCTCCAAAGAAAATGAACAACATTGGTGTAACATAGCTCATGAGGTTTTTTTATTGTATCATTTTCAGGGAAATGGACCTCTTGCTTGTACCTTATTGGGCAGACCGTGAGTTGGGTCTTGTACAGTGGCCTCCGTTTTTGCTTGCCAGCAAGGTTTATCATATTCATTTTATTTAGGGTTAAATATGTTTTGAGTCCCTCTGAAATAGGTGAGTTTTGTTTTTGGTCCCGGTAAAATATTTTTTGTTTAAAGCATCCTTAGATTCCTTACAAAATTTTTTATTTTGATAATGATCCTATATGTAAATAAGACTTTTAATTTGTTGACATAGCACATTAATTTCGTACTCAATAGCTTTGTTTTGCATTTCTTATTACTTCAGACACAATTCTCATGCTCAAAATTGTGTCCTTTATCAAATTACATTTCCAGTTCCCAAATTTTTATTATATTATATTTTTAAGAAATTGGGAATTGGAGATGTTCAATATGAATAAGTACACAATTTAGGGCTTGGAAATTGTATCTGATGTAGTTAGAAATGCAAGACTAAGATGTTGAGTATGAAATAAATGTGCTAACTCATCTAATTAGAAGTGCTAATTACGTTAAGGACTATTTTCAAAATAAATTTTTTGTAGGGAGGACTCAATAAAAAAATATTTTACACGGACTAAAAAAAGTTGCCTTTTATACAGGGACTAAAAACATTTTTAACGCTTTTATTTATTATTTTCTGTGCATCCTTTTGGAAATATAAATTTCTACACTCTTTGCTGCATACACAATTATCAATGGTTCCTCCTTTATTCAGAGAATGAATACATGATAGCTCCTTTTTCTACAAAAGAAATATGTTTGAAAATTACGACTCTGCTAGAGTTACTCTTTTGCTCTGTTAAAAATTAAAGAAATGCCATTCAGGTATTCACTACTCATGCATTATAACCATAGTTTACTAGGAACCAAATAGATTAAATGAAGAGAAAGAGCTTCAAAAACATGCCAAAAGAACCCTAGTTCTGCTAAGATTCCTAAGAATAACTTCAACAGGTTCTGTTTTAGTGATTTTTATTATTTTGACAGTTTTCTATTTGGCTACTACTCTACTAGCCTTGTGGTATTTATCAAGATACTAGTGTCTTATCTATAGCATTGTTCTTTCAATGAATTTGTTAGATCCCTAATGGTATATTTTTGTGATTAGATTCCAATAGCAGTTGATATGGCTAAGGATAGCAATGGAAAACTAAATGAACTGAAAAAGAGGATCGAGGGTGTTGATGATTACATGGCTCCTGCTGTTTCTGAGGGCTATGCTTCATTTCGAAATATAATTAGATGTTTGGTTCGCGGTGATCGTGAAAAGGAGTAAGATTCTGATAATTGAGGTTTTTTGTTCAAGCACTTTAGTGTCCATAATGATTGATGTGTAATTTTCAGGGTGATTGAGTATATCTTTTCTGAAGTTGACAAACACTTTTCCGAAACTAACAAGAATATAGAGGAGGGTGATTTCAAACTGAATGCACTTCCCATCCTTTATGATCTCTTTGTGAAGCTTATCAAGTACTTGGTTAGTGTTCAACTGAACCCATTCTTTATGAGCTCTTTTTTGGTAAAAATGTATTTGGTTGTTGAGTTTAAGGTATGGAAATTCAAGTGTAAACTGTTCAATATTACAGCGTGCAAATAAGCAGGAGGATAGAGATCAAGTTGTGATTCTTTTTCAAGACATGCTAGAAGTTGTTACACGGGATATTATGAATGCAGAGGATATATCTAAGTAATTCTTCCTCTATTTTATTTTTGGGTTTGTTAAGGTTTTAATTCAAACAAATGTCGATATCTTTGCCTTCAACTTTTGCAATTTAAACAGCTTGTTAGAATCAATCCATGGGGCCTCTGGGCATGAAGGAATGATCCCTTTTGAACATCAACAGTATCAATTATTTGCATCTGCTGGAGCCATTGCATTTCCAGCACCAGAAACTGAAGCTTGGAAAGAAAAGGTAAATGTATATTACATCACCTGGAGGAAACACAATCAAGAAAATAATCTATATATATATATATATATATGTATGTATGTATGCATATATATATATATATATATATATATATATATATAGGTTCAAATGAGAATGATGGACAATGAAAGAAATTAGATTGAGATTGTATACGATCCATTAGATTCATAGTTTGTAAGGCGTCGCCTAGGCGATAAGACGCTATCCCTTGGACGCCTAGTCTGCTCACCTTGCCCAGAAAATCTTAAGGCGTTCAGGCCCTCGTCTAGGCATTGCCTTACTCTCGTTTTGACGCCTTAGACCCTTAAATTTTGAAAAGCTCAATTTTTTTTACTGCAGCCCAAAGTTTTTGAAAGCCTAATTTAAAATATTCAAAAGGATTTGACTTAAACTTGTATATGTTTACGTATATGTAGGTGTAGGTGTAGGTGTAGGTGTACGTGTACGTGAAACACGTACATGTACATGTAGATGTATGCATGTTGGAAAAATGTAATCATTCTCCCCTAATTTTTTTTTCGGTCATTGTGTTTTTGCAGATTAATAGAATATTTTTACTCCTTACCGAAAAGGAGTCTGCAATGGATGTACCATCGAATCTAGAAGCTAGGAGGCGTATATCCTTTTTCTCCAATTCGCTGTTTATGGACATGCCATCTGCCCCAAAAGTTCGTAACATGCTTTCCTTCTCGTAAGTTTTTCTACTCTACCTTTAAAGGATCAAATTTAGAGAACTATGGATCTTGTTAGGACATGCCATCTGCCCCAAAAGAAAATTTAAGTTTTTCTACTCTACCTTTTTAATCAAATTTATGGACATTTTCAAATTTTTCCTTCTCGTAAGTTTTTTAATTTTCAAATTTTCAAGGATAAAAATGATCTATTTGAAAACTTTGTTCCTATCATACCTAGAAGATTAAAAGGGACGGAAGGAGTATACGAATAAATTTTGTAAGAAGTATATAATCAAAACCTTTTTCTTTAATTGAGAACTATGGATCTTGTTAGGACATAAGACTTGGTTTCATTTTTTTCGGAAGGGAGGAAAATGCGTATTTCTTAATATGAACTTATAGTTGCAAAGAGCATATATAAATCCATTGAAAGGTTTTTCATATGCTCTCTGATCATGTTTGTTTGAGATAAAATTGGAAGAAGGGGGAGGGAAGAAAAATGGAAGGAACTCATTTTCTAATAATTTGAAATTAGTAGTGCTCTCTTTTTGACTAATTCTATCCTTAAATACCCCCCGGTACTATTAGATGGCACAATCTTGTCTTTCTCATAAATCAGCAAAATACTTACGAGCCTTAAAAATAATCATATATTCAATATGAATTTATCTAATGGCGCTTAGGGATTCACAACAACCTGAATAGCAAGTGATATATTTATTTATTGAAGGCAATTGTGGAATAACAAATTCAATAGGCATGAATATTATAAGAGTGACCTATATTTAAAACCATCCTACCTCACCCCGCTCTACGGGGTATGGGATTTAACTGGGTTTGTTGTAAAACCATCCTACCCTGTCCTATAAATAGAATGAAAGGGAGTAATTTATTGATAGGAAAGTGAGTACTAATCAAATTCGCTCATAGTTAATTATTTGAGGCAACCAATGATTTGTACCCACACTCAATTAGTTAATTCAATGTCCTCGGCCCCCTTCTCCCGTATCTCTATTTTATCATAAATCAATAACCTTCAACAAAAGCATTTGCTTTTGAGTAGGAACGCACTTAGAACATTGCTGATTCTTCTTGCTTATTTACTTAAAACTCTAGATGTTTGAACTTCCTATGAGACTATGAGTAAATATTAATAGTTTATTATCTTGAGAAACTTCATTTAAATAGTGGTATAACACCTATGCGGATAGTGGCAACCTTGCTACATCATGACATGGTATAATAGTTTTTGGAATCAGCCAACACATGCTCTGGAATTGATGAGTGTGTCCTCAAATTATGATTGACATTGTTGACTTGCCTAGTCGTATAAATTCCTTTGGTCGATGCCCACTTAATTAAGCCCCAATGTGGTGCTCATTTGCAAGAAGTAGATGATGGGTTCGAGTGGAGAAGAAGGGGAGTAACTACCTTGTTGGGCTACATGATGAAGAAGCATTTGAAAGAAGAGAAGGGCGATAGAATTGCAAGAAGTCTTAAGATGATTATTGGTTGGGGCAGCATTTTTTAGTTTTTCTTATGAGTGTGGTATCTTTAATTACTAAAAGCTAGTAAGAACAATATGGACACTAACTTGCTTTAAATGTTAAATGAATAAGCTTCAATATGCGCCTAAAACCCATCATAGGTTCATAACTATGAGACTTAAACTAAAGAGTCTAAGGCGTATGAGTCTTTATGATGAAGAAGCATTAGAAAGAAGAGAAGAACAGCGAATTTGATGAAAACTAAGAACGATTGTTGAAGAATGGGGTAGCATATTTTAGTGGCCTTCTTGGGCTTAGTATCTTTAATGAGTCTAAAGAAGTATTATGACTAAAAATTAGTGTGAACTACATATACACTAACTTTCTTTACATGTTAAAAGAGCAAAATTGAATGTGGACTTCAAAACCCATTATTGTTTGTTGTTACAACAGTTAAGAACTTTCTGGACATGTTTAAAACATTTTGGGTCTATCAGGAACTTTGTGGATCAATGTGGAAATTTTGGATCTGTTCGGATTTGTCTTGATTTGAATCTGTAATTGTAAAAAATGCTCTCCTATTCCTATAGTCAGGGCTGTGAGGAGAGTCTTAGACTAGCCTTTTAAACAAGGCTACTGTTAACCAATTACACACATCTTTTAAGATACACAAAGTTGATTTTTTTTAAATAATTCATCACACGTGTATGCACTTTTTACATCTTTCATTGCACTTGTTTCAAATTCTAACAAGGGCATTCATTAGCATTTTCCTTTCAACAATGATATTTTGCACACTGATTTCACAAGTTTTATGAGCTGCAATCACACACATCTTTTTCTGCTATATACATGCATTAGTATTTTTTCTCGTGGGATTCAACTGGGTTGTTGTTGCTGTTGTTGTTGTACATGCATTACTAATTTAATATCATTCATTTTGGTAGTGTTTTGACTCCATACTACACAGAGGAGGTCCTTTTTTCATTGAAAGACCTGGAAGAACCAAATGAAGATGGGGTGTCTATCCTCTTTTATTTACAGAAAATTTTCCCAGGTGTGTTTGAGTTTCCAACTTCATATTTATATGGTGTCACAACAATTTTTCTAAGCTTACTAGTTGGTGGCATACAGATGAATGGACCAATTTTCTTGAGCGTATGAATTGTCCTAGTGAAGAAGAGCTAAAGGGATTAATGGACCAAGATGAGCAAACAAGTGAACAGCTACGTCTTTGGGTATCCTATAGAGGCCAGACTTTGACTAGAACTGGTATGTGTGTGATTTTTTATTCACCTGCACTGAATATATTTTACATAGGGTTCTTTTTTCCAACATCTCTTCAAGGCAGGAATTTTATGTGCAAATTTTCCTCTTTCCCTCTGCCTAAAAATTGCCAAAGTATACTTTATCATCATTTCTGACTTGACGTGTTTTGCGTTGTCTGAATTGCCAGTGAGAGGGATGATGTATTACCGCAAGGCTCTTGAACTTCAAGCCTTCCTTGATATGGCTCAGGATGAAGGTATGATTCTTCCTCAAAGGTACTGCACATAGTCTCAATAATGCCACCAACTTGAGCTGCATCACAGAATTGCTTTACTTGGGAATTGAGCAGATTTGATGGAAGGGTATAAAGCTATTGAGTTAAATGAGGATCAAATGAAGGGAGAGAGGACTTTGTGGGCACAATGTCAGGCAGTGGCTGATATGAAATTTACTTACGTTGTATCTTGCCAGCTATATGGCATTCATAAGCGATCTGGTGATCAGCGTGCACAAGACATTTTAAAACTCATGACAACGTAAGTGTAAAACTTCAATACATTTTTACTTGGGTGTCTGAGACCTAAGTGCTACATAATTCATGTCACAGGTACCCATCTCTCCGTGTTGCTTATATAGATGAGGTTGAAGAACCAAGCAAAGTTGGGTCAAAGAAGGTGAATCAAAAGGTTTACTACTCTACGCTTGTGAAGGCCGCTCTGCCAAAATCTAATTCCTCTGACCCGGGACAAAATCTGGATCAGGTATTCGGGAAAACATGACTTTATCATAGAATGTAGGTGACTATTTTATCACAGCTTCCACTGCAATGTATAACAGTAGAACTGTGAACTGTGGCTGCTGGTGACACAGTATTCTTTTCGGTCTGCATAGTATTAATGCAACATTAAGATATGATTCCGTATATGATACTGTTTCTTGAGAACTCATTTTTCCTAAGATGCCATCACAGTTGTTACTGTTGAATGATACACTATGTCTCTAAAAAATCAAACTATGGGGACACGTTTATTATTGTTTATATCTATCTTCAGCAATTACTTATTCTTTTAAGTGTTATCATCAATATTTTACTATTTTCTATGGACAATGCATGCATTGTAATAAGCATTTGAATCTAAATGTTTTTTCTGTGTGCATTTGCAGATCATATATCGAATAAAATTACCAGGTCCTGCTATCTTGGGCGAAGGAAAGCCTGAAAATCAAAATCATGCCATTATATTTACACGTGGAGAGGGTTTGCAAACAATAGATATGAATCAGGTATTTCAGTGCTACTGTAATATCATATCGCACTAGATTTGTAATTCATTGTCTACCTTTTTGACCTTAACATGTGTTTCAAGGATAACTATATGGAAGAAGCGTTGAAAATGAGAAACTTACTTCAAGAGTTCTTGAAAAAGCATGATGGTGTGAGATATCCTTCAATACTCGGACTGAGGGAGCACATATTTACTGGAAGGTATGGAGTAAAATTTTGTTTGATAATATATACGGAGTATATATTTTTTATTTCAGATTAATATTGCAACAGGTTCCTGTATCTTTCATCTGGGTCCATTAAATGTTTTTTGTTATCTTATGCAGTGTTTCATCTCTAGCTTGGTTTATGTCTAATCAAGAGACCAGCTTTGTCACTATTGGTCAGAGACTTTTGGCCAACCCTCTTAGGTAAGAAATTTAATTTTCCAATGACATTCAACAATGTACTTGGGTAACACAGTAGGTGTACTGACTTGTTCTAGAATTATTTCTGTTAGGGGTAAACCGGGGGTTGATAATTTAGTGGCGGATGTGCGGAGGAAAATGGAAGGGAAATAGTGGGCGAAAGTATGGAGGGTGTTTTAGGAATTCTTTTTTGGTATTTTATGGAAGAAAAAGAATAGGATTAAGAAGGAGAAATGGAGGGATATGAAATGGAAGAAATATCACGGATGGATAAAACCAAGTTGGTGTTAGGAGATATTACACACTCTTATCCTAACTTGGGGTTTGAATCTAGAATTCAATTAAGATATTACACACTTAATCAAATATCTAGAACCTAAAACTCACACTTAAGATAACCACTCTTAAGATATAGAATTAGGAATTTGGCTAAAATAGCATCACACTATTTTAATAATACTCAAAGAATGGTTTTCAATATTCAAAGATGTGTTTACAATGGCCATAGGGCCTGATTATATAGGCAGGGGGGAGGGGGANAGGATATGGGGGAGACAAAGGAGGGTGGATTGGTGTGGGTGTGGGTCAATGTGTCTTGGATTTTAGTGGCTGTTTATTTAGCCTAGTTGAGGGACACAATGGGGGGTTTTTGACAGGTTATTTTCGGCCAGTATATGGGGGTAAGGGAGTGCTTATTTAGGCTATTATTAGGAGTGGTTTTGGCCTTAAGGGTGTAAATTTAATGGAAGGACAATTGTGGGGTTCAAAGGGTGTGGTGGTGTGTTGGGCTGTGAGGTATATTTGGCCAGGGAATGAAAGGAAGGGAGAGAAGGTTTTATTTGTTTATTAAAAGGCTTAAAAGAAGGAAAATAACAACAAAAAAAAGGTTTTGGTTTCTTATTATTGACCAGGGATTAAAATATATGGTAAAGGCTTTATTTTGGGATAAAAGAAGAGATAAAAGACTTTTGGATATGTTGGGAGGAGTTGGGATTTTTGGTGGAGCCATCCAGGGATATAACAATTTCAAAGCAGGCTGGGAACAGTTTGAAGTCAAATCATATAAAATCATCTTTTGTGTGTGGGTGTGTGTATGTTTGTGGGTAGGGGTGTATACGAATCGAATCGAAGCAAATATATCACTATTCGATTCGTATTCGATTAAAGTGATATGTATTCGAATTCGGATTCGTATATAATTCGAATTCTAAAAAACATTCGTATTCGATTCGATAGATATTTGAATATTCGAAAATATTAGAATTTTTTTTCTTAAAACAGATTTCTTAAAGACATTAAACTATTATTTTATAATAATGTAAAATGTAGTAAAAATATGTTAGAATATATATAAATTTATTTAAAAATTATAATATTCGAATATATATTAATTTATATGTACACAAAAATTTAATATATTAAAATATGTACATAAATATTTAATATATTAGAATATATATATAAATTTATTTATAAATTATAATATTCGAATAATTCGAATAATAAACGAATCGAATCTATTAATATTTGTATTCGGATTCGAAGATAGTTCGAATCTAAAATACGATTTGTATTCGGATTCGAATTCGAATATAGCGAATACAAATCATTCTTTTCGAATACGAATCACGAATCGAATACATTTTATTTGATTTGTATGCACCCCTATTTGTGGGTTTGTGGGGGGGGGGAGAGTGGGTTATAATGGCATAATAATTAGGCATGGTTGAAAACAGAGTATTATAACTTTCATAGTGGGCTACGACTATTCGACACACTAACCAACCCTTTTGACCCACTCTTTTGCCCTTTCTTGATAATCCTACCCGAACTAATATTAATTTAGAGTTGTTTAAGTGCAAGTTCTCCCCCCAGATATACGTAGGAGTACACTTCTTTGTCTTGCTGTCGAGATTATCAAATCTTATTTTATACTCCCTCTGTCCCACTATTTTTGGGACATGGGGAAGTGGGAAGAAAAATTAAAAAGTAAGCTTGTGTTGATATTAATATTAAAAAGTAAGATAAAGTAATAATGATTGTGAACTACAAAAATATGACTAAATATGGAATGAGACAAAAATGGTGCGACGGACAAAAAGGTAAAATGGGACAAAAAGTGGGACGTAGGGAGTAATTTTTTCCTTTGACTCTATGAGACAGATCTTATTTTATGAAATTAAGGTGTTGAAGCTCTACCGGGTATCAATTACTCCCTCCGTCCCACAATTGATTATAATTTTTTTCTCTCATCTCGATAACTTTTGTTTATATGTGTATTTTGATTGTTTATTTGATAAAATAAAATATTTTTGTCATCTCTTGTTTTGTAGAACTTTTGATGTGGTTTTCAAATATGTAAGTTTTAATTTTAATTCTTATATCAATTCATAAATAAAATGATTTAAAAAAATATGGGGTTTTACCTCGTAATTGTAAAATTGTAATAAAACTTGGGACGGAGGGAGTAGAAGTATAATGACCACATAATATGTTACTTCTAGGGTTACACTAGGGTTTCTATGTTTCTCATACTCAAGATAGAACATATAAGTCCAAGCATGCACTGTTAACCAAGCACTAGAAATAATTCAAAGTGCCAGATACATGTGTGGGATTTTAGTAAACTATGGCTCTCTGTATGATAGTGTCAAATGAGGATTGTAGCTCCAAACTGCCAACTGGCAAAGACAATCACAAACAACTTCAAAACTACATGGAAACCTGATGAACTTCTGTAGGACAACAGTAAAAAGTTCCAACTTTTCTGCGAGAGGTAGAGAAAGCATGAATCTATCTGGGGTTCATTTGTTTTAAAAAATTATAGAACGAAAAGGTGGCCCTTCCCCCTCTCCCCCCTCATGAGTATTTGGCTAAATAATCACAGCATTGGTAAAACCAACAACCTCAACATATTTAACACCTTAAAAAAAACCTCAACATATCTAATAATGCTAAATATGATCATCCTTAAATATAATACGAATTACAAAAAAAAGACATGATGTACCAATTGCCACATACTAGCTACAATGCACGAACACTTCCCCACATGATACCATGTGTCTGGCATGTCTGACACTGTGTTTGAGACATGTCCACTTATTGAATAAATGAGAAAGAAAGTTAATACTTCCTCTGTTTCACAATCAACTTTACACTTTCCTGTGCTTTTGTCTCAAAATAAACTTACACTTCACCTTCATTTTTTTCCTTCTAAAGAAAAAGAATGTGTCCAACCAACTTTCTATTTCTTCTGAATGAATTTCAGTCACACTTTTCACTTTTGAACACTATTGTTAAACTCTTTGAACTTAAACCGTCAAATTTATTTTGAAACAGAGGAGGTATATTGGATGTTGCACAATTTCAAACTCAAACCCAACTAACAAACACATTCATTGTTTTATTTAAAACTAGTGTGAGTTAATTTCCACTGAAAGACTCACGGCCTTACAACCAAATTTGAAACCCATACGCCCTACCTAACATTTATCAAGATGGACAATTGCATCAAATGAGAATTGTTAGAATATAAATAATTGTTCCTGGGCCACAACCACAAGCTTGAGCTTGTGGTTGAGTTGGTTCCTTGACATGGTATCAGAGCCTCGTTGACTAAGAGGTCACGGGTTCGAAACTCCGCGCCACCCAGTTTAAAAAAAAATTAAGGTTTCACGTGCAAGGCTCGAAAAAAGACTACGCCTGCACATGAGGGGGTGTGTTAGAATATAAATAACAATTCCTGGGCCACAACCACAAGCTTGAGCTTTTGGTTGAGTTGGTTCCTTGACAAGAATAAATCTCTATATTCACATTGCTTTATGGTTTATGGATATCGTTAGTAATGAGTTTAATTATTTATTGTTTAACCATTACTTATTTACTCCATTTGTCCCATTATCATCTTCACTTTACAATTTACGATGTTTGAATGAAGTTATTTTCAATTGAAGTTCAAATATTGGTGTAAAATTATAAAATAAAATTTGTATATTTAAAAATTACGTCAAAAGTTCTACAAAATAAAAGGTGACATGACTATATTATCGTAACAAATGATTAATATAGTACAAAAATGATTTTATTATGTTTATCTATAAAAATGGTTTTATTATGTTTATCATAATATATAGTACAAAAATGATTTTAAATAAAAATTATATTGGATATTAGTACAAAAATGATTTTATTATGTTTATCTATCACAAGTTTAATTCATTGTATTAATATACAATGCAAATTTAATGTAATTGATGATTACTTTTTATCCAGCTTGATTGGAAAAAGTCAAAACTAGTACTCTAGGACAGAGGGAGTATATTATTGTATAAAATGTTTAACAAGAATATATGACGAAAGATGATATAGTTTGACCTTATCAATAGAAAACATGAAGATAAATATGGAATATTGGGAGTATATACAGACAAACGATTATACTTCAATTAATATTACTTCGTAAAATATATTCCCCTTGTCCAACCATCAAGGTTGGCATGGTGGTTCAACACCTTGTCCTTTAAGTAAGCGGTTTGGGTTTGTTAAATTCCGGTGGGCCGAGAACAACGGACAGAGTGTCGGGTAATATTAACCACTTGCATGTAAAATTGGGACCCACATTCTAACTAAGGGGCATAGTTTTGAAAGGCGAGCTCATATAGGCTATATAGCCAACTCAACCCAAATCACGGACGGATAGCTCATATCGCTAAACCCACGTCCAACGAGGAAGAATCAAACCCTAAACCCGAACCACATCTGCTCCGGTGCCATGTTAAAATTTTGGTGGGCCGTGAACTTCAAGCTTGCATATAAAATTGGGATCCACTTTCTAAACCAAAATTGATCAAATGTTAAAATACTATAGGCATGTCGCCTTTTGTTTTGTAGAATTTTTAATGTAGTTTTTAACTATATAAATTTTCATTGATTTTTTTAAATATTTTAACAATGAAGAATCAAACCCTAAACCCGGACCAGATCTGCTCCGGTGCCATGTTAAAATTTTGGTGGGCTGTGAACTTCAGGCAGAGTGTCGCGTAAAATTAACCACTTGCATATAAAATTGGGATCCACTTTCTAAACCAAAATTGATCAACTGTTAAAATACTATAGGCATGTCGCCTTTTGTTTTGTAGAATTTTTAATGTAGTTTTTAACTATATAAATTTTCATTGATTTTTTTAAATATTTTAACAATGAAATTTATTTTGTTCAATAAAAACTACCAACTGTAAAGATCGTTTTGGGACAACGGAAGTATTGGTTTTTACTTCACCTTCCTATATCTTTCTACCTCTTTCCATAAATGGCAATTAAATCAGGGGTAAAAGTCTCTTTTGCCCTTTGAAATTAAAATTCTCTCCATTCTCTCTTCCTCACAATGTTCTCTTCCACTCTCTCCGTGTCTTCGCTCCATTCTTTGTCCATCTATGTCTTCTCTCCATTCTCTTCATCCCTGTCTTCTCTTCGACGCAGTGAGGGGGTGGTGGATCTTCTTCTTCTTTGTTGGCCTGACACGGCATGGGGGCATCAACAAGGGGGCATAGTATTGAAAGGCGAGCGCCTCCCTCGCCTAAGGCGCCTCAGGCGTCTGGTACCGCCTGTAGATGTTCAGGCGAGGCGCTGTCTGCCTTTTTCACCTGAGTCGCTTTTCTCGCCTTTCTTGCCTGAGTTGTTCGCCTTTCGTGCCTTACTGGCTATGGGCCTTTTAAAAATGAGCTGGAATTTTTTTAATACATTTCTATACATTAAATACTTGTGTTTTCAGAAACATATGTAGTGACTACTCTGATTGTTTTGTTTAACGTGTATGACTTGCTTGGGATTGACATTATTAATTGCATTGCACTATATATTTTATGTATGTGTGTGTATGCCCCAAGTTTGCCTTTTGGCCGCTTGCCTCTCGGCTCGCCTTTCGTCTTTAAAAAAGGCCCTCTCGCCTGCCTCTCACCTTTCGCCTTTCAAAACTATGCAAGGAGGTGGTGGCTCTTCCTTTCTTTGTTGACCAGACGCGGTGAGGGAGCAGCAACTCTTCCTCTTTTTTGTTGGGTTGACATTGCAATTTGGTGCATCTTTTTGTCTTCCTTTTCTTTGTTGGCCTGATGCGCCGAGGTACCAGATCTAAAACCTTTCATCCACCTCTTCCTATTTTTTGTTGGTCTGCAATGAGCAATGATCTCCAGCAACAAATTTCGGCAATCCGACGGATGCAGGCGATGAGTGATGATTTCCTCTTTTTACGAGATGACAATGATCATGCGGTTCCAGGCTTAGTGGTAATAGGAGTAAGGGTAAATATTGAAAGTCAAAGCAATGTTATCTAACATTCAAAAGCATGTCTGGTCATAACGAAAAGTTACGGAGTATTTCTTTTCCTTGATCCTGAAAGGTAGATATATACTCTTATGCAATTTCAGGAGAGAATGAGAGAAATGTGTTATCTATAAACATATGGACATATATGGGTCCTAGACAACTCGATGGTTAATGTTCTTGAAAGGTAGATATATATCTCATCTATCCTGATGTGTTTGACCACTTTTTCCTTTTGGGATGTCACGATGAGTTTGTCCACTTTCCATTTGTGGAAAATAAATACAACATTGACTCCTTTGCCCCCAACCCAACACTTCTTCTTAAATGCCCCACATAAACTAAGGGCATTTTGGTCATCTTTCTCCTTTTAACTTTATTTTAGCGGTCCATGTGCCAAAAAGCAAGTGAGCAAATACATTGGAACGGAGTATGTAATTTTGTGGAAGGACAAGATAAAGTGTTGTCTTATTCCCTACACCATATGCATACATATAAATTTGAGCATAACATTTGTGGGCCCTAACTATATTAGGGTAAAGTTACACATAGCATGCACACACCCAGACCTTGGTGGCAGAAGTATACAACTCTTGTGGTCTACCATAATAATTCGTAATTCACACACAACCCTCACTTTTTCAAAGCTTGATTTGACAAATTCTTAAGGATTCCTTTTCTTGTTGATGCTTTTATAAAGACCCTGATTAAATCTATAATCTAAATGTTTGCAGGGTTCGATTCCATTACGGCCATCCTGATGTATTTGATAGATTATTCCATCTAACGAGGGGTGGAGTTAGTAAAGCTTCAAAAATTATCAATCTAAGTGAGGATATATTTGCTGGTAAGTCATGCTCTGTTTGCCTAAATTGTGCTATACAACTTTATTGTCTTCGTTGATAATGCTACATTTTTCTTTTCATTACTTTTTCAGGCTTCAATTCAACACTCCGTGAAGGCAATGTAACTCACCATGAGTATATTCAAGTTGGTAAAGGGAGGGATGTGGGCCTTAATCAGATTTCTTTATTTGAAGCCAAGATAGCAAATGGTAACGGAGAGCAAACTCTGAGTCGTGATTTATATAGACTTGGGCACCGGTTTGACTTCTTCCGAATGCTCTCATGTTACTTCACTACTATAGGGTTCTACTTCAGCACGTTGGTATGTTGCAGCAGTGTTATAGTTTTTGTCACTATTGGTGCAACCGTCTTGATCTTAACCTTTTACATTTCCATGCAGGTTACCGTCCTTATAGTTTACATCTTCCTTTATGGACGTCTTTATCTTGTGCTTAGTGGACTTGAAGAAGGACTTACTACCCAGGCTTCAATCCGCAACAATAAGCCTCTTCAAGTGGCTCTTGCTTCTCAGTCGTTTGTTCAAATTGGGTTTTTAATGGCTCTTCCTATGATGATGGAAATTGGGTTAGAAAGGGGATTCCGCACAGCACTTAGTGAATTTGTACTTATGCAATTACAGTTGGCTCCTGTGTTCTTTACATTTTCACTTGGAACTAAAACCCATTATTATGGAAGAACACTGCTGCACGGTGGAGCAAAATACAGACCCACAGGTCGTGGCTTTGTTGTGTTTCATGCTAGATTTGCTGATAATTATCGGTTCTACTCCCGTAGCCACTTTGTTAAGGGCCTTGAGCTTCTGGTTCTATTACTTGTGTATGAGATATTTGGACAAGCTTACAGAGGATCAGTTGGATATATCTTGATTACTGCATCGATGTGGTTCATGGTTGGAACGTGGCTGTTTGCTCCATTCCTCTTCAATCCATCTGGTTTTGAATGGCAGAAGATAGTTGACGACTGGACTGACTGGAACAAGTGGATAAGCAACACCGGGGGTATAGGTGTCCTTCCTGAGAGAAGTTGGGAATCATGGTGGGAGGAGGAACAAGAGCATCTTCGCCACTCTGGATTGCGCGGCATTATTACTGAGATTATACTAGCTCTACGATTCTTCATATATCAGTATGGGCTTGTCTATCACTTGAACATCACTAAAAGAACTCAAAGTGTTCTGGTACGGGTGACTATTTGCTTTCAAAGTTCAAACATATTTTTCCACAACAAAAATGTTTAATTATTTTATATTGTTACATTCATTTGCAGGTTTATGGTGCGTCATGGCTGGTTATCTTTATCATGCTCTGTGTAATGAAAGTGAGTCTTGGCAAATGTTCTTAACCAAAATGAAGTGTTTTGCTCAAAATAAAACAACTACAAATAAGATATCAATACAAAAAAAACTGTAACATCTCTATCGAAGGACCTCTCTTGGCAATTTATAAGCATGAATTTCATGATATCTCGATAACATGTTCATAGGAACCGATTTATTTCATGATTCCAGTTTCACAAAACTATTGTTATTTTTTGCTAGGGGATATCTCTTGGACGGAGGAAATTCAGTGCAAGTTTTCAACTTGTATTTCGTCTAATCAAAGGGGTGATATTTCTTGCATTCGTTACTGTTCTGGTAATTTTGATTGCACTGCCTCACATGACACCTCAAGACATCGTTGTGTGCATTCTTGCCTTCTTGCCAACTGGCTGGGGGTTGCTTTTGGTCAGTTATCATCTCTCATTTCTGTTTAGTTTAATTTAAATGCAAGGAAACTAATAAATTTAATCAATTATTTTAGTACTTGTTATGGATTCCTTTTTTTTTTTTTTTGTAATAACCCTTTTGGCATTTCCAGATTGCCCAAGCATGCAAGCCTCTTTTGCAAAAGACTGGATTCTGGGGATCAGTCCGGGCACTTGCTCGTGGATATGAGATAGTGATGGGGCTGCTACTGTTTACACCCGTTGCTTTTCTGGCATGGTTTCCTTTTGTTTCAGAATTTCAGACTCGAATGCTGTTCAACCAAGCGTTCAGTAGAGGTCTCCAGATTTCGCGTATCCTCGGTAGCCACAGGAAGGACCGTTCTCGGAACAAGGAGTGAGGTTTCCAGGCGATTTGGTCATGTATTCTGCTGCTGCTAACCTTCTGCTTTCTCTGCTCCACATTACATGAAAATTTTCCTTTTTTTTGGGGGGGGAGGGGGGGGGAGGTGGAGCTGACTGCTGTTGTAATTATTAATGCACGCTGAAGTCAGTCTATTATTATTGAAGGGGAACCTATTGTCCTTTGCCAATGGTGCTACAACATTTTTTTTTTATAATTTCTTTTATAGTTTTGCATGAAAAATGATGCATTGCATTTTTCCTTGCTTCTTGCATTATAAGAAGTTTTGGGTAGTAAATTTATCCGTGCATTAAGTCTGATGGAAACAACAACCTCTTCATTTTTCACAAGTGTAAGGTTGTGTGTACACTCCCCCCCTACAGAATCGGGTTTGTTGTACTCCGTACATTTATTGGCTAACCTCTTCTTCTGTCTTAATCACAAATTCTAGGTTTGTTGCCAAGTCTACAACTGTATTTTTCGGTGATGATATAAATTTAATATGCTCCGTATATATACATATATAAATATTCATTATCATGAAATACTATAGTACATTAGTACGTCCCTTTGGGGACATCCCAGGGACGATAGAGAGTGGAGATCCTACTCCGTATGGAGACGGAGTATAAGGATATGTACACTCCCCGGGCTAATGTGAACCACTCTGCATGATTACCTAAACGTAGAGCATCTCCAACCTTGAAGTTAATTAATACTCGTAGTTATTTTAGCGATTGTCTTTCATTTATGTTACCTTAAAGGGGAAGGATGAATTTTAGCATAAGTTGCTATTTTAACAAACTCAATTGTTATGCATAGCAATCACACATGCTATTTTATCTGAGTTATTATCTAGTTAACTTTTTCCACTTAAAATAAACAAACTTTAACTAATTAAATAAAATTCATATTAGATATTGATACAAAATTAATTTTATTAAAATTGTTTAATAAAATATTTCAAAATATTATTTTATCCAATTAATATATAGAGTATTATATACTCCCTCCGTTCCGCAAAAAAGTTCCCCTTTCTTTTCATTCGTTCCAAAAAACACTTTTGTTTTTCTTTTAAAAAGTCACTTTTACCCTTACTAATTCTTAATTTACCTATCACATCACATTTTTTCTCTATTAAATTCTATGTCATCCTATTTTATCTATCACATCAAAGGGTATTTTTGGAAAGTCAAGACCAAAATATACTTCCTTTAAATCCTTAAAAAGTCAAATTGAGAATTTTTTTAAGGGACGGAGGGAGTAACATTTATTTACTTATAGGTCAAACGATATAATGGTTGCGTGCAAAAAATTAAAATTGGACAAATATTTATACTTGCTCATTATATTTTATATTTTATTTTACATATAAATGTGAGTAGAATACATAATTTTTCCTCCGTCCCAATTTATAGTGTTTGTTCACTATTCACAGAGTCAAACTTTATTCACTTTCTTTCTCTATTTTCATTAGCAATTTAATATAATAAAGTACTATTGTCACTACTAATTTTGTAGATTTTTTGATGTAGTATTTTAATATGTAATTTTTATTTTTTAAATCTATACCATTCGTCATATAAAATGATTTGAAAATAATTTTAGTCAAATATCGTAACTCGAAACAGACACTATAAATTAGAACAAAGGGAGTACATAAGATGAGATAAATAAATTACTAAAAAGTAATTGCAAAGTGACAAAATATAATGATAAATACTTATAATATACACTACATAACATGGTTAGAAATGAGTAGGTGATTTGTTTGTTAAAATAACATTTACTATCTCATTTTAAAGCAAAATTTATTGGAGATGATTTTATAGACAGTACATACTCTCCTATTTTAATCATTATTTTTCGTTATCATTTACCATTTTATAATCTCATATCTGCCATTTTGACTATTATTCATATATTCTTTTAATAAAAAATACGAAATTTTATAATTTTATTTCAAGATGAATTAAATGATACTAAATTTATAATGCTATCTCCGTTCCGGTATGTTTGTCCGGTTTTGTTTTAGCACAAATACAAAGACAAAAAAAGTTGTGAAAAAGCCTAAAATGTCCCCGGTAAAGGTAATTAAGGCTCTGTTTCGTTCAACATATTTTTTCTGATCTGATCTGTTTTTTTGTAGTTCTGATCTGATCTGATTTAGTTTGATCTAATCCGATGAGATCTGATCAGATTGGATCTGATATGGTCTGATCTGATTGAATCTGATTTAGTGTGATCTGATCTGATTAATTATGATTTGATTTAAAATTCAAATCAATAATTTGATTTGACTTTATAATAACGTTTGAAAATTGTAATAATAATTCATATTATAATATAATCAATATTTTTTATTTTATGATTATTTTTAAATGAAATAAAATTAGTTAATTCATATATTGGAATAATCATTCATATTATAATGTAATAATATTTTTTATTTTATGATTATTTTTTATGAAATAAGAATATTGATTTAATATTTTAATAATTAGTTCATATATAAATTAGAATAAATATTTAATTCATATATCTATTAAAAAGTAATTAAATTTAGATAATCAATATAGAGAAGAGATAGTATTTTTATTAAAATATGTCATCCTTATAAAATATCAACGCGTGCTTTGTACTACGAAACTTTTTTTATGATTAATATAACACCATATATATAATAGTTATTTAAGTTACACTAAAAAGAATTTCCAAAGAATTACCATATTATTAATTAGTAGTTATTTATTACTCCCATCTGTTTACGATGTTTGACTGAAATTATTTTCAAATTATTTTATATGACAAATGGTATAAAGTTAAAAAAATAAAAATTACATGTTAAAATCTACATCAAAAGATCTACAAAACTAGTAGTGACAATATTATTTTATTTTATCAAATTCTAAACAAAAAAGAGAAAGAAAGTGAATGAAGTTTAATTTTGTGAATGGTGAACATGCATTATAAATTGGAACGAGGGAAGTATTATTTTATTATTAATAATGTTAAGGGTATAAGTTTGGACTGATGAAACGGGTCCATTCATATGAAGGTTGGGACCCCAACTAAAAATATTAATCTTATTTAAGTTATTACTTATTGATTTTAAGTTAAATTTTAATCTTTTTAAGTGTTACATCTTACATAACTAAGGACCCCAACTAAAAATATTAGGGGCTCTAATTTAAAGTAACAATGGAGACACCAATTGGTATATTAAAAGAATAGACACAATGGAATTAAATAAAATATATATTATATTTTAATTAAATAAAATAATATTTTGAAAATATATCATATAATTAATCTAATAAATTTTTTTTGAATCGATATCTAATATCATTTTTATTTAATTTGAGGTTAGAGTTTACCAATTTTGTCCAAAAAAAGTAAAAAATTGACAAATACTCAGACACGAAGGGAGTATGCCAATGTGGTCAGTCAACCATTGGCGATCCGCGGCAGTGTAACAATGACAGTGTGAACTCCTATTTTTGTCTTAAAATTTTTGTCTTAAAACACTTATAACTTTTATTTTGTATTTTCATAGTTTTTACTCCTATTTATTAATTTTTTCTCTTTCTTTGCATCCCTTTTTTGGAGCTTGTAGAACGCTTCAAATTCTTCTATGTATGACACTTTATTCGTATCAATTCATGCTTCCGTTCCTTTGAACACCAGAAAAGTCCAACAAAAAAACATTTTTTGTTCGGATCACAGCCCATCCGGCTATCGGCCGAACATTGCTTGTTGCCAACCAGCTCTACTTCGCATCTGCATTCTGAAGAAAATAATAAGAGGGAAAATATTCTGTATATTGAATTGTTCTGCTAAGTACAAGGAGTTTCTCCTTTATTTATAGGAGAGGATAAAGACCAAAACACAAAAGGAATTCTATTCCTACAAGGAAACAAATCACTAAATATGAACAAGGAAACAAATCAAGAGCAATCCCACTTAGAATGGGATTTGCTCTCCTTCTTGCCGTGTGGTCCAAGGAGCACCGCCCAACACCCCCCCTCAAGCTGGAGCATGCGGATTCTGGATGCCCAGTTTGGACAGCAAATGGGAAAATGGAGCGGAAGCCAAAGCCTTTGTAAAGAGATCTGCCAGCTGTTCATTGGTGGAGATTTGGCGAGTACACAAAACACCTCGTTGGATTTCGTCACGCACAAAGTGGCAATCAATTTCAATGTGTTTCGTACGCT